TGGACTAGACATCTGCTCGTTACCTTACTAAAGTGAAATCCAATCTTAATGCAGTATTTGACATTAGAAAAGGCTGGGATTTGAATCCTGAGATCCTGAATTCCATAGCATTACTGTAGTTGCAAGGTGAGGCTTCCTTTTGATCGCTGCTCTTGTCCTCAATTCTAGGACAGTGAGTCCAGAAATGATGCAAGAAAAACATGCTAGACAGGAAGGGGGTGGGCAGGTTGATATGAAAAGATGAGGCAGAAGGAGGCTGGAAGAAGTGCAGCAGTGGACATGGACAAACTGGCAGAGGTGAGCAAAAAGGCAGAAGCCTTAAGCATGGGCTTTTTTCCTGCCCTAGTCTGTTGCCTGACATGACAGATTGCTGAGTTTTATACTTCAGCTGCCAGAAGATGTATAGGAAATCCCTGTCCACTGCAGCTCCCAGCTGGTTTCCACTCTACTTGGTCTCCCAGCTTGGTGATGTTCTGCTTTCTAAATTCAGATGGAAGAAGCTGTACAGTAGATCTAAAAGTTCCAGTTAAGAAGCCTCTCTGGGTGTCAACATGATGGAGATTTTTATCTAGAAAAAAAGCATTAAAGACTATTAAAGATGGAGTAATCCTCAGCTCCATCACAATGCTCCTTGCTGCTCTTACAAAAGCACAAACCGTAATTTCATCACTTTCTGACTGTGAGCAGCTGTGTGATTTCAGAGCCCTCATGTTCTCCTCGGCTGGGTGTAGGCTGGCCCTTTCTTGTCTCAGTGGCTGCGGAGGCAGCAGATTTAGGATGAGCAGTGCAAGAGGTGTTTAAGGATAGGTCAGCTCATTCTTTAAAGGGTAAATCCAGTACTGAACATCTATTTATTTGTCCTTAAGCACTAGTCAAGACACTGAAATTCGGAGGAGAACTGTTGGCGAAAACCTGCAAGTCTCGGCCCACAAAGAAGAGTCGATGAAGTCGGAAAGCATAGAAGAGGATGATGAGAACATGATCACAACTTGGAAGCCATTTCTAGTGAATATATGCATGTTCACTTTCCTCACAGCAGGAGCTTATCTCTGCTACAGGGTATGTTTTCACTGATGGACATGCCAGCACAACTGACCCTGCAGAAAACACCAACGATTTGATCGGTTTGTAATAAGCTTCTGTACAAGAAAGCTTCTTGAGGCACGTGAGCCTTATCTCAGCAGAGATAGATCTTAAGTTGAAAGGCCAGAACTTTGGTTAGGGCTTAAAGAGAGAATTGATGCACTAGGGTTTCAGCTAGCCCTGTGGTCCCAAGAACATGATATTCTAATCTCAGGGCCTTAAAATATTCAGGAGTAAGCAGAGAAAATGCCAAATAGTCCGTTTTTCTTTTTTTCTTCCTTTTTTTTTTTTTTTTTTTTTTTTTTTTTTAACTAAATAATAGAATTACAACACATTGTTGTTTTTAGCCTTTTTTAAAAAGCCAGTTCTTTTTCTTTTGTGTTTCAGAAAAGCTAGGCACAAGCGGAACTTGCTTGTATTCTCCAAGTGTTGTAACCAAATACATCACTTACATCATTGAGTTCCCAAAAAAAAAAGAAAAACAAACCCACATACCTGAAGAATGTAAACCTTTTGGAAGGGGTAGGGGGCAGCTATGATTGGGTGGGTATTTGGTTTGGTTTTATTTCTAACTTGCTTCATCTGTTAAAGACTGAGTGAGTTGTGGGCAGTGCCTGTGGTATTGATGTATTTAATCTTGGGAAAACTTTTCTGAAAGAGCTTATTGTTTTACGTTGTTTATAGAAACAGGCTTCTGCATTTGCTCAGGGTATGCCAACATGTCCAGCTCTTTTTTTCTTTTTTCTTTTTTTTTAAAGAAATGTATCTTCTCATTGACTTTTGTTGCGCTCTACTTGCACATATACCTATTTACATTGCACCATCCTTTGTAAAGCTGTTTTTACATTTGTATTCTGGGTTAGGAGAAATTGAGGGGAGGGAAAGAAACAGGAAAGAAAATTCAACCAAAACATGTCCACCAGCATTTTGAAGCTGTTCAGTTGGCATTCAGAAGGACCAGTTCATAAGCCTCATCATTTGGAATGTAAAATGCAGTTTCAGTCTACATCTGCTTCATAAGGAACAGTGTGCTTTGTGCCACGGCCGGGAGGTCGTGTGCTCAGAGGCATTGCAGGTAAGCATGGAAAGCACGTCAGGAAAACCAGAGCCTCAATCCTGTGGCAGCTTCCTTAAGACAGAAAGTTCAACAGAAGACATGTTGGCCTCAGAACGCATCAGCTGGCTGTTGATGCAAGCATTTGTGTGTTTTGCTTATTTTAAAGCAAAGATTTAGAATACTGGTGTATTTGGCTGAAGAGAAGCTGTTGGGTGACCGTGGGACAGAGGTGTGTGTGGATAAGCCTGGCACCTCTGCAGACACGGATGTTGCTGTCCTCAGTAACGTGGGCTAGGAGATGGGTGGTTTTGTTCTGTGCCATGCTGTGTCAGGGGTCTGCTCAGCTGGAGCCCAGCACTTGAATAATCTGAGTGCTTGCAAATGAAGATTTGGGTGCATTGGTAGAATTGTGACTGGAAGCTTGCGTTACACTGAGCAGCAGTCTTAGTCAGTGCTGCTCCTCACATTAGTACCAAATTATTACAACTTAAACAGTAATAGGGAAGAATTATTTGCTGATGTCATGGAACTGAAGAGTTAAATTCACTACTAAAAGCTGTGGTGAATGAAACCAAACCAAGTTGGCTGATCTGCAACAGCGTTGCTAATCAGTTCCTTTTGTTTTTAAATGCTTTATGGCACTTAACCACCATTCTCAGTGCAAACATCACTATCTTAAAGTCTTTCCACTCCACGTTTTTCATTTTTGCAAAGCTGTCTGTAGGTGCAGCTCTTTTCCTTCGGTGAATAAGGAGGTGAAGTGGGGAGCTGTTTCTTTTCTGTCTTTTGTTAAGCTTGCATCAAGGGCTTTTCACAAGTACAATATTAAATCCTCAGGTAGTACTGGGAATGGATACTTCACCTGTGGGATTGTTGGTCAGACCAACAGTCTGTACTTTCCAGTACTGGAAAGGAGGAATGCTGTAACCAGTCAATATCTGGTGGTATTACTGGAATCGTGAAAAATGAGTGTAGAAAAATGGTAATATATAATGGCTCATCTGTGTATTTAAGATACAGCGTGTGATTGCTTTCTCTCCACTGTTCTCTCCATCATTTGGTAGAACACTGTTCTAAAGCAACATTCATACATCATTTGTATTAGAATGCATGTAAAGTCTTCTAGTGTCCTGATTAAATACCATGTGCTTGAAAGGTGAAAGAAGTTCTATTTCTGCTTACTGATGTGCCCAAATTGTATTTGCATGAACTGATCATTAAGTGGCTGTGGTTCAGAGGCTGCTGCTGAAAGCATCTTCGTTCAGCGGCAGATGGACTTGGTGTTTATCAGACAACATGTACTCGCCTGATCCTTGGCATGACCTCCTATTAAATTTCTGCGTATTCAGCGTAACCTGGTTGTTAGCATGGTTCATTTCAGCTGAGTGAGTATAGTACAGACATTCCAGAGTGCGTGGTAAGCTGTATTCACACCTCACCTCTGCTCATGGGTGGCAAGCAGGAGTTGGTGACTCGGGGGGACTTGCTGTGCTGCCTTCAGAGCTGCACTGGAGGACAAAGAACCACCTTTTTTTTGCAAGACTGCCATAGTTGCTCTGCAAAGACACAGGTTCTTAAATGGTGTGATTCTCCTCAAAAAAAAAAAAGCCAAACAGAAAACAGACTGTCCTGTTCCCAAGAAGGGATGTTTAGAAACGGTAGCATGGGGAGGAAAGTAAAGCATCCTCCCTCTGAATCCAGCATCCAGTTGCACCGTGCTTACAAATTACTGCAGTATGAGAACGCTCCTGCAGAGGAAGTTCTGAACACCCTCTCTTCTGCCTGTGTATTTTTCTTGTTTCTGTCACCCGTTCCAAATTCAGGAGAACTTGTGCTGTCCCTGTGAGGTGTGGATAGAGCTTGTAATACTGAACTGTAAGCATTTTTGTTTTGGTGTCCTGTATGTGTACGTAGTAGTTTCGGTGTGTATATACAGTAGCATTTCAAAGTGGGTGTATTGGTTAACCTGTTCTTGGAAAATGGACAAATATCCATGTTAAACTTGTTAGAAAGTTAGTGAGCTGCTCTGCTATCTTGCCTTAAGCAAATATTTACGCATCAGGTCTTTCTTTTTTTACAGATCACCATAGAATAAACTTTTTTAAAAAAACAAAAACCAAAAAAGTTAAATGTTTTGGTATAACACATTTTCAGGTATTTTGTCTTTTGTGTAAGTCACTGCAAAGACCTCAGAAGTTATAGTAAAACTGTACAGTTTTCTCAATTTCCCATACAAGTTTTCAGTTGCCATTTCAGTTGTAACAATAAAATTCTTTTTTTAAAGAACGTACCCGCGTCCCATCGCTGTGTGTTTCCTCAGAGCTGCCGGCGCCTGCTTTGAATTACTTGCAAATCTGCACTGATAGTGTTTATTTCTCTTCCTGGAAAGGGCTTGAAGCGTTACTGTCAGAGCTCACTTATAGGTCAGAGCTCCAGGAAGAGGAGTGCCCCGTTCCGTGCCTCTCCCTGCCACGTTCATCCTCCCCTCCAACACTTTAGTACGTTGGATCAGGGATGGGGGTCATATACGCATCACCGTGCCTCCGTTACGAGTTTGTGCAGGAGTTTCTTTTGTGCTTTAGCCAGGGAAGGACTACAGGATCGCAGCACTTCCATGCTCTTCGAATTAACGTAATTTTTGTTTAGATTTTTAAGAAAGCTGCAACTGGAGAAGTGCTCGAGATTTTTCAGCGGTTCCACAAAGCGGCGCCGAAGCAGCTGCGGTAGCGCTGCACTCAAAGCCCGCCCCCCTCACCGCCCCTTCCAGCCAAGGGGAGGAGAGGGGTGGGCGGCAGCTGCCGGGGCTGCAGGGAACTTAGCGGGGAACGCCTGTCCCTGCTTGGAAATAAATCTGCAAATGAAAAGCAGAGTTACAAAATCTATGAGCGACCGCCTCTGAGTGCGGTTAAAGCTTGCTATGCGGCAGCATGACCTGAACACCGCAGTTCAGAGCTCAGGAGAGAAGAGCTGCGGGGTTTCAGGATGCTGCACGTTCCAAGGCAATACTGATAGCACAGCAGCAGCCCAGCCTGCTTGGACTGCACCAGCCTGAAGCTGGCAGAGCAGATAGGACGGGGTGGATGAAGAATATAGTGGACACACAGCCTGGCTTGGAATGCAGAACCTAAATTGCCGTTCAGATGCACCTCTCCCCATCACTCTGTCTGTACGGCCACATGAAGGATGTGCAGGGTTTGTCTCAAAAGTTTTATTAGAAGTCCAGAAAGTATGAAATCCAACAAATAAATACTGAATAGAAAAAGTATTATATATAAAATATATACACACAGGCTTTTTCAAGTATTTTACCTGTAGCCAGACTTCACATCATGGTTACCACCATGGTTACCAGCGGAGAGTAAGGAGCCTGGCAGTGGGCATGTGATTATACAAACCTTGACCTATGGCTAAAGGAAGAAAATGCTTTTTTTCCTAAAAAGCTTACACAGCTCCGTCTGTATGGCAGTCTGATTTGTACATGGCTAATATGATAAATAACTTCCCCTTGTCAGCTGCAGAGGATATACACTATTTGTCCTTGCCAATCCCTGCTCAAGAAGCCTGTCCTACGTTGCACTGATTTAAAAAAAAAAAAAAAAAAAAAAGCTTTTGAAACAAGGAGCCATTGTTCCTTCTGCAGCAAAATTCTATTAAAAAAAGAGAAACCAGCAAGCAATACTGCTAGATTTTCTAATTCACACGGCAGCTGATGTAAACAACTGGCTGTCAGCAAGGTTCTAGGATGGACTATTGGAGCACCATCATTTCATTCTTTGCAGAAATGCAAACAGAACAGATGGCACACAACTGAGTTTGTGTGGGCGCAGCCAGTTCTGTGACGTAGGCTTCAATCATGCTGCAGCCTGGTTTGACATTCTTACAGATCCCAGTTTGTTTTTTTCTTCAGCATTTCAGATTATCAATACTGAAAGTGAAAAGAAAAAACAAAGATTCCAGTCTATTTGATTTAGATTGCAAACTGTGTCCACCTTGGAAACAAAACTACTGTCAGTAGGCAGCATGTACATAGCAGAGTGAAAGTAAAGATGCTAATAAGCAACAAAAGTAAACCCTCGGGTACCCATAAGTAGCTGTGAGGAAAGAATGACTTAGCTCCTTATACTCCACTACTAGAATACTGTGATCTCAATTTCAGCCTCCTGCTGCACAGCATCCCTCAATTCACAGCAAATCCTGTCCATTTTCTCAAAGGCTTGTCGTCCCTTTTCACCTATGAAGAAAGAAAATACATCTCACACTGAGGAAAACAAAGCAGTCAGAAACAACCTGAGAAAAGCAGTAGTGAGAAATACTTCTGTTGTGACTTTGTACAGAACTAATTAGGACTCTCAGTAGTGACAGATCTCTGTAAAGCAGTGATGTTCAAAGCCCTGCTACAAGTCACCATGGGAAAACTAAGTTTAAAAAATAATCAGGCTCTCTGTAAACATTTCCACATGATTAACAACATGGAGCATCACAATTGGAAAATGTGTTTTGTAATGCATGTGACTCTTAGTATTTCTGTGAAGTTAGTCTGGAGATTCTCAGAAGAGCATGACTCTTAAGTATTTTCAGGAAGAACAGAGCAGGGAAATTACCGCCATCTCCCAGATGACTGCATCCTCCCTGGGAGCTAAGCCTTCCAGGTTCTTATCCTAGACAATTCTCCTTTGCCTTCAGTAAAGTACAAATACAGGCCAGTAGCAAAGAACCTCAAGATTTGACTAGCAACTCAACTCCAAGGTACATTCACTGCATTCAGTAACACACACAGAACAATTCTGACTACACTTAATAACCCTCTGGTATTCAGAACAGAGCAGTTTGTAGAACAGGAATAGGAAAAATACAAGGAGCCAGTCCATTTGCAGGTGGCTAAAGGTGATCACCAGGCCAAAGTATTCTGTTGCTGTTGTGATACATAAAAGATCTTCAGTTTAGCTAATGTCACAGAGCTAGAACCAGTGTAATTTTAATCCCTTGGGTCCAAATAGCATTTTTACAAAAGGTAGAAGGGGAAAATCGCTGATGCCAGTACTACCATTAGTAAGTACTCCAGCAGCACTGTCAGCAACTTAAGTGCTTATCTGCCATCCTTCAAAAAATTTAGTGGTTCTTAAAGCACCTTATCCTACAATAATCTTGGTCTGGTTTTACAAAGAGTAATAGAAGCCTTTGGTTGTTACGTGTGGCACAAAGTTGGTTACTGCATGTGGCCCCTTGATGGTATGAAATAGCTGTTCATGAAACACTCCCATTGTCTAGGATGTGTTCAGGCTGCACAACACAAGCAGAGCTTCAGACCTGTTCTGGTTTTGCACCATTTCACGCTACTTTTTGGAATCTGCATTTTAAGTTGCATGAAGACTTACCAAAGGACAGCGTTGTTTCCCTGGCTGCATTCCTTACATCCTCTGTTTCAGACTGGCACAGGTGGGCAACCTGCTCAATACTCTCTATGCCCTATTTGAGAGAAGTGCAATGGTAGCCTATCAGCAAACATTTTGATGAACACTTTTCCGAAGCAAACTAACTCCCATTTCTTCTTGTGTCTGACTGTGATCTTTCTTTTCTCCCCTAAGGTATCAGCTTGCAATTATTTTTTCTGAGCATATCACTTCTATTTTATCCTTTCACTCCTGTTTTAAGACATAGGAAAGTGTTAAAACTCTGGTCCCCAGTTCACTGCTTCAGTACTGTTAAATTAGCATAAAACAGTTGGGACCTTCACTGAAAAGTTGTGCCATGGCAACACTTGCTTAGCAGATCTGACTTTGAGAGTAAGACTTGCTTGTCAGGCCTATTTTATGGCTACGTTTGTACTATCAATAATCCTGTCAGTGCAAACTTATCACAATTGTTTATAATAGCAATACAAATACTATTTGTATTTTCTGACTATTATCAGCAGTTATTAAAATAAGATCGACTGATTTAACTTCTACAGTTAAAGAGTAAGAACTGACTCCACACATAGACGACTCCGCTGCTCGCTCTCCTTCACACCAGATGTCCTCAGTCAGGCACTATCTGCTGTGGTAATGCTGGAGAAACTAGAAAGCACCCTTCTACCATTCTGCCATGCCTGTCAGATTAAACTGAGACAGCCCTTCTACCTGCTGCTTTTTAATAACAGCAGTAATATTTTGGAACTCTGGAAGGCAAAGAATTCATTAATTCCAGATAAAAGGAAGATGAAAGATGAAATCCCCGCCAGATTTAAAAGCAATTTGCCAGACACGGCAAGAAACAAGTGGAGTTATAAATACTTACTCTGAGATTTTTAAGGGCCAAACACGCAGCTTGCTGAAGTCTTGTATCACAGCCAACTAAAACATCAGTGTAAAAAAGGAGAGCCTGAAAGATAAAAGAAAAGTTTTATACCTGTCAGTATAGTCAAGCACTCAAATTCAGACCAACACTAGCTTTGTTTATCTGTGTGAAATTGAATAAAGGTTACAGAAAAATCACCTGAGCACTGACTTGGTTTCAGTTCAAGGTAATAGATAATGAAGTGCGCAGAGGGTAACAGTACTATTTCAAGACAAAACAAATAGCATGCATTTCAGCACCTAATTAGAAAAGCTGAGAAGAAGTAAGTTGTAACCTTTTCCCTAAAGTTCTTGTTTGCTGCTGCACGGGAGAGGCAGGATGTGGCTGCTTTGCTGACGCGGTGGTTGTCATCAAGCTGTAAAATCCCAAGTAGCCGCAAAGTCTGCGGTAGAGGCTGGAGCCGATTCAGACGCTTCCCTTTCAATTTTTTAAGGGTCTTCAGCCGTCCAGGGCACTGTAGCTCCTCAATTAGCATCACTGCATGTGAAAGGACTTAACATCACAACACGGTAAACGAAGACATTTCCACAGGATTAACTCCTCTCTAACTCTGCCTCCTTCAGCCACGGGAAGTTGTTCAAATGGTAAATAAGCATGCTAAGTATGGCAGGGAGCAAATCAGGATGACTGCCCCTTTGGCAACCCAAAGAAGTGCCTTCTTTCCCTTTCATTGTTTCATAGAGCAGTGACTACTATTTCACAGCTCTAGCTCATAGGTACAACAAAGCCCTGCTCTGTAACAGGCCCAGGTGCATGGTGTACAACATACAGTGCAAGATATCTCTGCACCTTCGGACATTACAACCACCAGAACATTCCTAAAATAAGGACGAGACAATCAAGCATAATACTTCTTTTAAACAGCTCAGAAAGATCGAGCTGCATCAGTTGAGAAAAGCATGCCTCTCTTCAGAAAGAAGAAATGAGACACTAGACTGGCAATTTGAAGAATATTACGGATCTTTTTCACCAGTGATGCACAAATTCTCAGTCTCCTAACAGATAAATAATTTCCACCAAAATAAGACTGAAGACACAGCCAATATCAGGATCATTTTGAAAATAATCTTCTAACACAGACAAAGCTTAAAGTGCCTTCATGCTGTTAAGTTCAGCCAGACACTGGCTGCCTCTGAGAACTCATGCGTTAGTAAGCTCTGAAATGTGATTGCTTTTGTCCGTCATCCCTGCGGATACAGTCACACAGAGCTACAGGCCATTATCCAGTCCTTTAATCTAGAGGTAGATTGTTGCTAAACCAGTTTCTGTTTAAATTTCAGGATATCTCAGAAACCCCCACCTTTTTTTTTTTTTTTTTTTTTTTGGACACTTATGATGAACACCTGTTTTGTTTCTACCTGCTCAGATGTGAGAGTGAAGCATCTCTGTCCTATTTGTGTTAAAATTGTGTGGTCGTAAGAGGAACTAAAACAAATTGGCAGTGCAGTGCTGGGCTGTTCTCTGCTCTGGAAGTTGATCTGCACCAGTGAAGTTGATCTGAACCTGTGCCTAGTGCTGCCATTACCTTCTTTAGCAAGTCTTCCTACGTGTTTTTCCAGGCTTGTAATCCGGTGTTTCTCCAGGTAGCTGTAAAATTGGAATAAAGTAACTGGTTCTGTTTGGAGATATGGAGAAGGCAGCAAGCCATCACAGGTGACGATCTGCTCTAGCAGTCTTTGCAAAACTGAAAGTAACAGAAAAGAACAAATGAATAAAGGAAATGCTGCAGAGCTGCCAAAACAAGGTGTTCTTTAAATGCGTAAGGATAATTTTCACTCTTGTGATAAGATTCAACTGAAGCAGCCTTTGGCTCAAGGAGCAGAGTGGTACCTGCTTCTAATTGGCCAGGGTACTTTTCCTTCACTTTGACTGCCAACATGTACTTCAGTACGTGACGGAATCTTTCTGCTGAAGCAAAGAAGATACTGCCAGGTTCTGCAACATCACTCCAGATTTTCAGATAGTGCTTCTTCTTCTTAGTCTTCTGAATAACTGTAAATCATAGTTTAGGAAGTTAGTGAGCTTTAGCAGATTTTCAATTTTACATGTGAAATTAGGCACCAGATGCCCATCTAGATACGTGTTCACATAAATTAAATTTACATTATATAGATGGCTGTGTTCAAAGCTGGAGGTTTGCTGCCTGTATTTTAATGTCTGTGACCACCCATGTCAGCAAGCTTGGATTGTGGCCTCAAACTGTCATAAGAAGACCTGAATGAGATGCCTTAGCAAAGCTCTATTGCCCTTTGGATCATCATTCATTTTTCCCTATCATCAGAGTCAAGTTGCAAAAGAATCTTCTGTGAGTTTAACTGTTTTCACTTCCACCAGCTAGAGGCAGAACTTCCCAGCATTTCAGAAGTTCTTCATTACGTACCCTCACAAGAGGAAAATACTGAACCTACGTATATAGGCTGAAGGAGACTTTCTTCCATCAAACACTTTATAAAAGCAATATCCTGCACTTTCTTGGTATCACTTAACCCCTATCACCTCTTCTACGCAGAAAGAGGTTGAATTTCTGCTCTGCATTTAGGTCTCCTGCACTTCCACCGTGTTTTGCTACAGGCTCTTCTGAGCCTTGCTCTGAGGATCCCTTTATTTTCACATCCTTCAGATCAAATGTGTCAGCAAATACTTCCGGCTAAAATCTGCATTTCTTTCTCTGCACCTTACAAAGACGAGAACAAAAGCCTTTGAAGTCTCCCACTGTGCTCTTATTGTTTTGTTTTCTCCATCAGTTAATGGAAAGAATAGGGCAAGATCACTGTACACCAAACTACTCTTTGTAATGCATACAAAAGCAAAACAGGTTAGTAAGCTAAGTAAAATAATAAATGACTTTATCAATGCTATTTTGCTGTTCTCTGCAAGTTCCATTGTCTGTAACACACCCCTATTTCTAAGGCACACCACACCATTCAGCTGTTTCATGAGCCAGACTTCAATTTTTTATTTCCTTACAAAAGGAAAACAAATCGTGGCCTCTGTTTCCTCAAAAATAAATAAATAAAATACATAAAATTAGAAATTATCTGTAAGAGCTTTTTAAATTATGTGAATATTTGTAAAGAATTTAAAAAGAAACTCTGAGGTCTCTGGGAAAGCTCAAGGTCTCCCTGTAGCTCTCACATCCCTGGCAATATGCATTTACTCACTTTCTTCAACAGACAAATCCAAGACATCCCCCAGGACTCGCAACTGCTCTGACACTTCTTCCAAAACATTCTCTTGGATGATCTGGGCAACATTTGGTGACCTCAGTTTCTGAAATGCAACATGCTCATCTCAGTAGCTGAAACAAAGGCAGCATCAAGCTCAAGATGAATATTTGTTTCATAGAAGCACATATCTAAAGTCTGTAAGAAAACACCAGATTCTCTCCAAAGACCACTACTCTCATCACAGCACGGCCTTGTTTCTGAGCACAAAGCTGACAAGCAGAACAGGATAAAGTGACATCCTACTGGAAAAGGCTGTCCAGCATTCCAGATCCATGCCTGCCTCATCCACTGACAACCGTGAAGCAGATCAGTACTAAAAGTTACACTGTACTCTGCAGGCCACGCAAAGCAGATGACAAAATTTGCTTTGAGCACTGTAACTGAATTAGTTGGTGGACAAGGTCTCAGAGAGAGAAATACTCTTTTTTCCCCTGAGTGCCACCAGTTTCTTCCTAGAGCTAGGGGCTTTTCCATTCGCAAAGAAAAAAAAAACCAAAAAACAAAAAACAGTTCACCTGTTACCGACACAAAATTCAACGCAAACCAGCCTCCTGCAGCCTGCTTTAGTTACCAGAAGTTCAAGGAAACCAAGAGGCTGTAAAAAGACAGCCCTTGGATGACATTTGCATGACATCTTCTGTGCACATCCACATATACACTGCTGCACTGCTGGAACTCAAATGCTATTCTGAATCTTTCTGCTTTTGAAAAAGAACCAGCTACACATTCATTTTTATCTGTACTCAAAAATCAACAGCTACAACGATGACCTCAGAATCCCATTGGCTATTTCCTACCTGCAGAAGAGCTTTGCACAGCTTCAGATGAGTTATTAAAAGCACATCTAAGTTGTCATCTCCCGTAGTTACATCTCTTGTTTCTGTTTTCGTATCACAGCTCAGGGACTGAAACGTGTTGTCATTGTACGTGCTGCTTTGAAGAGGAAAGAAGGAATTAAAACATGACCTCATTTTACCAAATCAGGATGAAGACATGCATTCTCACTAGAGTGCAACCCTCATTTTTGCAAGTTCAAATAAGTTGCAGAAACGTAAACCAGGCAGCATTTAAGACACAAAAGCACTTTTTAGTGCATTGATAACACTTCTTAGAGAACATGAGGGCTATTTCTAGAGCTAGAAATAAATTGCACAACAGTAAAATCAGGTCAGTTGCTCCCAGAAAACTCTGTTTTGGAGAACCAATAATAGAAAAATGCTTCATATAAATAGAAAAAGAAAGTGTGACTTGAGATAATGGGTCATTTGAGTCAAAACCTCTTGCTTTACTCCCAGTTTGATGACACTGGGAGTGTAACAACTCTCCAAGGACCAGGTCACAGCTCTGGAACACAAGTTCCAGTGCACAGAACTTGGAGAATACAAAAAGAACACTCAAAAAAACAGGTAGAAGAGCTTGTAAGACATATATAGCTCTCTCCCTCACTAGTGCAGGACTGTTCAAGGCTATCCAGACAATCCTGCTTGTAGTACTCTTGCATATTAGCATTCCACCACATCCCAAGGGTATCATTCTCAAGTGTTTTTCGTATGTTCAGTTCAAGCTTCCTGCTGTTTCAGTCTGGCATTCTGAATTATGAATCTCAGAATATTAAAAAAAATAAATTGTTTCTATCTTAGATGTTCACACTTTTAGCACCTCTGTACATCCTGTACTAAGCCAAACATAGTCTATCAGTAAGTGTTATGGGACCACCTTTGCTTTTCCCTTTACCTTGCCACCTACAGTGAAGTGCTGCAGACACCTACCTGATACTGGCTGTTCTTATGCTTCCAAATAATGAAATCTCATCAGCACTACAGTCAGCATTTAAAAAGTTAAAACTTTCCAGCACCGTCTCCACCATTAAACTTTCCACAGATGAATGTTTGTGATGAAGTGTCCTTAGCTTTTGAAGAATGAAGGGAAAAATATTGTTATTTGCAGATATTAAATCATTTTACACGATTTTTTGATTGGTTTGTTAGTAAGAGCAATTTGAAAAATCAATTTCCTTCTTTTTTAATTTTATTCTAAACATATCAGAAGAGTGAGTTGTTGGTACACCACTGATCCCAAAATACAGTTGCTGATTAATTTCATGGTGTGCATCAGCATTTTCATTTGCATTCTTCTTTGTATTTCCACATCTCTTAAGTTTGGTACAAGAGCTGACTTTTCTGTATCTCTTGCCATTAGTGTAGATCTAGAAGTAGCAAACTGAAGGCTCTGCTGCATGACAGCATAGCGTCTGTCTTAATTTCAGCTGGGACAGAGTTGTTTTTTGAAGGTCTGTGTGGTGCTTGGCTACCTGTCAAGTAAAACTACAATAGTACCCAAGAACTTAAACATCAGTGTGGATTTCATGGGGCCACTAACATTCTCCCCCTGGAAAAATCTGCTTTGGGAATATTTGCTTTGTTCTTTTTTTTAAAATTCCTACAACTGAAGTGATTATATTGAGGTAGAAAGTCAGTGCAGCGCTGTTAATGACATTTGCTACTTCAGATCCCAGATGAAGTCTTACAGCATCTTATCTCCCAAGTCTGCGTGCTGGTCCACACACTAAGATGCTAGGAAATTTACAATATAACCCAATGCTTGCATAAAGTTCTTCTGCAGGATTTTTCCTCTAAGTAAAAGTTTCCAGCAACATATGGTTAAAAAATTCACTTGACAGATTGAACTGCCTACAAAGACTAGGTCATGAGAAATTTTGTGTGGCAAATAAATTAGAAACAAAATACAGGGACTCTGATGTGTAGTCAAGATCCTGTTTGCGTTTAACCCAGATGAGCTTCCACTTTGACTACTTGCAGTTTCTTAATTTCTTTTGACAGATCATTGACCTCTGCATAGCATTTGGCCACCATCCCTGAGAGATGCAGCACAGTACTATTGTGCAGTCAGCTCTGGAGACTGTCTTTTCTGACTAGGGCCTGACCCCCGGTGGCCAGACTTATTTTTTAGGAACATGCCATTGATACAACCCAATGTCAAATCCACTACAGGGTCACAAAATTTTAACTTCTTAGAAATAACACTGAAAACTACAGTGTTAAAACATTACCATACCTTTAATTTATCCCTCAGAGTTAAAATTTGGTATTCCAATTTCTCCAGCTGGGCTTGACCAACACCATGGAATTTTAGCAAATTAAACACTTCTTGGAGAGTCTTGTCAATTGACTTTGTACATCCATCCAGTTTTACATCATTTGCAGCATTCAAGCTTTTCTGGCTAAGGCTTTCTTGTTCTGTCAGATGGCGACTTCTGGTCTGGTTTAAACTTCTACCGCCTTTTCCACGACTCAGGAAACTAGATGGGTTACTTGAAAATGTGTCCACACATGGAGTCTTCTTCAGAATATCTAGAGTTGCATGATTTGGAAGAGGCTTTTGCTCTTCTGCACAAGTCTCTTGAATAATCATCAATGGCAGTGTCCTATGGTCTAGAGCTGGAAGTGTAGTTCTGGATTCTGTCCCTCTCTGATCCTCAGAGCTGAACGAGTCTCCTTCACTTGTCTCTGCTGGACTGTGAGGTTTACTTCTCTCGTGTGTATCAAAATCACAGGCAGCCAAGTAACTCAATATGCTAGGAGGCTGAGCTTCACCACTTACATCCCCTTGGTTCTGTCTTTGTTGCAAAACAGACTGCAAACAAATTCATAAGTGAGCACATATACAACCGAAAAGCATGACATGCCATCCAGGATGCATAACCATGGTTTCCTGTTCTTAAAAACACATGCATTCAAACTCATCAAAAAACCACTGGGCCATTCTGCATAGAGGAACTATGCTGCATAGATTGGACAGAGGAAACCAACATAACAATGTGGTAAGAGCCTACTGAAAGAACTAAATAAGAAGAATGGAACAGTTCTGTTGGAATGGAACTACAAAGATCAAGTCCAACTGCCTGACCACTTCAGGGCTAACCAAAATTTGAAACATATTATTAATGGCATTGTCCGAATGCTCCTTGAACACTGACAGGAATGGGACATCAACTACCTTAATGGGAAGCCTGTAGAAACTCAAGTAATAACTACATGTTATCAGATGAAAGTTACCAGGACAAGCGTAAAACCAGTTTGGAAAGAGTATGTTGCAAAGCTTCTTTCTTGTCACATCAGCTCAGGACAAGACGTGAATGCAGTGGTTAGAGGAAAGATTCATTCTTAAGAGTCCAGCAGACCCTACACGTAAGCCTTTCTAATGTTGACAACACATTCTGCTGCTTTAGTGAGGTGCCAAAAGTGACTTAGACCTGATTTTATGAGAACGTATAGATGGTGTTATCACTATATAAGATCTGTGGTAGAATTGACAGGAATATGTAGTACAACCATTACATTAAAACCTCCTGAAAGCATGGAAAGGTTTTTTCCACTCCCTTGGGCTACACCTGGCAAAAAGTAAACTCGAGAAAGAAGGCAGTTAAGTTTTACAGAGCAATTCTAAGATAATGTTCTGCACTAAGGCTACCGAGACTGGTTCCTAGTGCAATTCCCACCATAGAGTATTAGAACATGTGCCCACATCCCTACCATTCTGACTGCCAAGAGAAATGTTTCTCAGGGATTTCATTTCTTCTACAGAATCTAAAGTGAAGCTCCAAGTAATAGGAGTAAAAATAAAAATAAACCACTCTTGCTCTGGAATGTCATGTTTCCACATTTCTGAGTGTGATCTTCAATAGCCTAATCAAATCTACAAACAGTAGATTCTAGATCTATGCTTTGCATTTTGCCTTCCTCTGCATACTCACCAGGTAGTACTTCTCTCTGAAGCTGGGAGTATTTGGAGGGGTCCAGTTGTACAGAGAGCTCTTCCTGCTACCCACAGAAAACTTGGACGTGGTTCCAGGCGACAGGAACAGGTTCTCTGCATCAAAGGGGCTATAGCAGAAGATACAAAGACCAACCTGTCAGTAAGACCAGAAAGTACAGCTATGCTTAGCAACAGGAACAGCTGTTAGGATTGGAATTGTAACATTTAGTAAACAGCAGAGGGAATAAAGGGAAAGAAAGACTGACTGCCTCTTTGACCAGTATCTTTGATCACACCAGCTGAAAAAGAAATAGGCAGAAATACTGCTCATCATATACAAAAATCAAAACACCCTTTAGACAGAAACCTGTGCCATAGTCTTTGGAAGACCAGTCCAACAGGCTGCAAAGTCTGATGAGTTCTCTGTCCTGCTGCATTTTCCTACATAGACACCAGTGCTGGCAAGTATGGCACAGTGCTGGCTCACAGTCATCCTCCCGTGGACCCATGGTCCCTTTCTTCTATGCTGCTCTCCAACAGGTCAGTTCCCAACCTGTACCGGTAACTCTGGCTGTTCCTGCCCAGATGTGAGACTCTACACTTGCCTTTGTTCATTCATTAAATTTCTCCCCCCCAACTCCCCAGCCTGACTAGGTCTTGCTGCATGGAGCAGAGCCTTCTGGTGTGTCAGCCACTTCCAGTTTTGTATCAACACAAAATTGCCAACATAAATCCTCTGCACAGGTTAGAAGCATGCAGAAGTTCCATTATTAAAGTTGAAATGAAGAACAAGTCTTTTGATCATCCTCTGTGACCATGTTGTTTGAAATAGAGGCCAATCATTTCCTTTTCATGCTCTCCACAGCCTACCATACACCTAAACAGTGTCATCCATCAACAACTTTTCAAGCCTGAAAAAGCTATTTAACTTCTTGAGATAAAGGTGACTCCATATCTCTCTTATCATCTTTGTGTCTCCGTTCAATTTCTAAACTGCCAAACACATGTTGTTCTTCGGTTATGACTAATCACAATATTGGCACTAAATACACGACATCTAACACCATCATTAAGGATAACATTGATGTAGTTCATGGCACTCCTTTAGCTTGCCTTAGCACAATTGCAGGGCTTCAAGCATTCAGGTCCAAAACACACATGCCCGGCCTGACCTTGAAGGGGTTCACAATTCATCAGAGCTCAGGTTTCCTACATTTAACCTCCCATGACATCAGAAGCTCCTCAGAAGAGGCTCCTCAGCCTTACCAGTGCATGAATAATAGCAAGATAAATGTTATCAAAACCCCTAATTCTGGGAAGGGTGAAACACTTGGCGTTTCCACTATTTTATCATCCTTCCACATTTTTTTGTTAGTTGCATACAGAGGACTGTCCCTGAATTACATTCTTAGACAAATGTAAGTAATCAGGCAAAACACTGAAGAGTTGAACTCAACTCTATCTTTATCTCCAGAGGTTTTAAGTTCCTTTCTCTCAATGCCAGGACAATACCCTAATGAGTCTCTGTCCACCCATTCTGTGCACTAAATATCTACAGGGCCAGAAAGGCACTTGGTGGATAGATGCATCTGAATTTTACTATTAAGTCAGCTTGGATTAATGCGAGCCTGAATCCACAATAGTTTTGGTTGAATGGATAAAACTTACTTATCAGCAGAACACAACATTCATTTTTTTCCCTCCTTATTGAACGTATGTGAAAACAACAATGCAATTTTAACAGAGTGATCACAGTTCAGCTTCTACAGTTCATCAAAGCATAAGGAGTACAAATGTTAAAGCCTAGTACAGCTTGTTATAGGACATGCTTTGAAACATCATTTGCCTTGAGAGCCCAGCATTGGACTGCTGCCTAAAGATATGCAGGTGAGTATTTATTCACATAAGCTTCTATCCATATGAGAAAGCCTGGCAGCAGGGATGGAAAAAACTACCTTCAACAAAATAAAATCATATATTTCCTTTTAAGTTTTGTTTTCCTCCTGCTCAGGAACCCTTGTGAACCAGGCCAGCATATATCCAAAGCGGGCTGAAATTAGAGGAGTTATTTTAGCTGGCTGGAACCCTTAGATTTCAGCACAGGGCACTAGCTGAAGTTTTCAGAAGAGAATACATTTCCTTTTGTCATTCACGAGTGAGAATTCAGACTGCTGTTTAGGTTGGTGGAAATAAAAAAACAAAGCTAATGCATTCTGCCAAACTAGCCAGTAAAGCAATTCTGTAATAGGCCCAAGCTCATTCATGCTCCTCATAGCATGACCTACAAGAGCTGAAGGAACTTTTATTAGAGGCCACAAGGCTATCAGTCTAGTTAAAGAAAATACACGTTTAGAAGTAGAAGCATGATGTACATTTCAGTCTTTTTTGCAAAAGAGGTCCATAGCGAAAGTTTGCTTTGCAGGGATATTTGGGCATAGCAGATAGCTTTGTTCAGTTATTCTTACACAAAAGAAACAGGCATACTTTGAGTGTTCTCTTAAAAATAGAAATACCCTCAATTACCATCATCCAACTTCTTTTTGGTAAAGACCTTCATCAGACAGACTCTCAAAGTGGAGAAGTCTGCCAGTTCTGTGCAGAAGTGCCCTGGAGAATCTGCTTGGTAGAGTACCAAGGCATTTCACAAGACTTAAAGCAGAGACGCACAGTTGGAATATTCTCACAGACTAAGAAATTTCCAAGTGGGGATTAACGCCCAAAGAAAGTGCATCACCACTAGCCCTGCTCCCAGCTCAGACGTTGCCAACTTTAAACAGCTGTGGACTGCTTCCAAATGGCATAGTAGTGCTCATCCACTGATGATCCAAAGTTACAGAGTAAACCGTGAGGTACCACCACAATTGAATAACTAAATAATTCAAGTTACATATATTTAGAGAGTCAGAAATACTATTTGCTTTGGAGACTTAAGCTATTACTTGATCAACCATGCTATATATATCCCAGAATAGGAGGGTGTTTTCCTCATGCAGTCCTTTCAGAAGAAAAACTTAAATATATGTTTATGCAAGTTACTGACAGTGAGGAAAGGCAAGTAAATTCAGCAAATTTGAACTGAATCTATCTGTTAGAGAGACATTTATGTAGGTAAACAGATAGATATTGCAGTGATCTCTTTCAAACTCTACCTGAAGCGTGCCATCATTCAGTATAGCACTTAGAGAACTAGGTATAAAATCTGGTTCTACCCTAATAAAGAACATCCTCCTTACTCCACAAAGACATCTCCTTAAGACTGAAGGCGTGAAGTCACAGGGAAAAAGACTTCCCATGTAAGAAAAGTACCTCTGCAAACAATATTCTACCGGTAGTCATTTCTGCCCTGAAATTTTCTAGGTCTTTTGATGATTTTTATATCCAAATCTATATCCAAATTAAAGGAGGAATGTGTGTGTGTGTGTGTGTGTGTGTGTGTGTGTGTGTGTGTGTGTGTTTTGACTAGGTGGGAAAGAAAGAAATAAGAAAGGCATCAGAATGGCACCCCTTTACTGGGGCATATAGGAGCCCATGAAGCCCCCATGCCCTCTTCTCTCCCTTCTTCACCAGTTCTAATATATGCAAATGTTAAAGAAAACCAACCAACTGCCCTTTATTTAAAAAGCATTTCATTAAAAAAAATATATTTTAACATTAAAAAAAAAGTTACACAGCTTGCAACATCTTCACTCCATGTACTTTTCATAACTCTACCATGAATACGTCTGCCTCCAGATTCAAATGAGCATACATACATATCTTACTACAAGAGGGAGGTTCACAGGGCGTATAATGCAGGATCACAGCAAGTGTCTGGAGCAGGGCTTTGTTACCCAAGTAATTTGTGACTCAGCTTCTCAAATAAGTAACAGAGGCTTCAGAAGTTCAGACCAGCTGCAGCATTTCACCAAAAATATTGAGATACCCAATGTTAGCCCTCAGGAGGAAAAAGCGTAATAAACAACAGGTGTAGGAACTCTGCTGTGCAAGTTTATTTCTCATTGACTTAGAGCAGCATGTGCATTTGAGAACACATTTCAGATGTTACTGCCAAACCTTATGTTTCAACCCAACTGTATTTACAGGTAACAGAATGGGTTTTCAAGAACTGCACTATATACAAAAATTCAGAAAACCGTACATCAATGAAGCTCTTACTTCCCCTCTACCAGAAAAATCAACGTAAAAACTGTCTCTCAACCCTTGAATAGGAAGTGCACCAGAAAGCTTTCATGTGGCATTCGTTCTGTTGGTGGCTTAAAAGACAGTAGCAAAGTTGAAGTCAAATAACGCATCTAGAATTAAAAGTAGAAGTATGGTATTAAGACTTGAAAGTTGAGTCTGACTGTAGAACACATTCAGTTACTTTATCCTAATGGCAGGCAACTGCTTCTTTCTGAGAGATCTATTTGGCAGACCACATGCTACAAGCATTTAAAAACTTTTTCAAATTATGTGATGTTTGAAGAAGAAAGCAACTACCTAGGTCAGAGAAGAGCTGTGTAACACTGAGTAGTGGATAAGCCTGTCCTGTAATACACTGCATCATGCCCTTCCTAATCTAAACACTGCTTGTTTCCTGCTTCTCCTGGAAGGAGTCTAGATCCACAAGTCATCACAAGTTGGCCTTTTCAGAAGGTCAGTTATTATAAGATGCATCCAAAGACTTCTTAGACATGTTGGGTGGGGAAGAACTGAGAACTGCAGTAAGCCAGATACAAAAATACAAGTGAGAGTAGCCCTTTAATTGAGCACTTCAGTAAAATGGCTAGACTTAATCCCTGAATGGTACCAACAGAAGCAGGTTAATAATTTCCATTTGTTGCAGTAAGTCTGCCAGTATGTACCAACAGTCCCAAACCTTTATTGGTTGTCAGTTTCCCAAGAAGCTGGCATTCTTTTCCCAGTAACAATCATCTGATCTGCTGTAAGCTTAGAGTCACATAACTATTTTCCACTTAAGGAAGATAAGACCTCTTCGGACCTGTTACAGGCAACTTTACGTCAGAGTATTCATACATACAAAACTCTCACAAAGCCAGGAAAAAAAGTTAGTTGTTAACCAACTGTAAGATTTTTCCTCAGTCCTTCAGAGATTCTCAGGAAAGCAGGTCACTTGAATACTAAAAAAAGTCTTACTAAGTGCAAGGAGTTACCACACAATATGAAGATATCACAGTCACAAATTACAAAATATCACATACTGCTGCTGGGAAAGGACTATGTTAGGGTCATCATACATCCATTCAGTGGTGCACTCAAATAAGATGACACACAGCAAAAGTAACAGTACTACCTTGAAGATCTGTAGTAGTGTGATTAGTGTGAGGAATAAGTTTCAGTGCAGCATCCACAAAAGCAAGAATTTAATAACATCACTAGCCCAGTACAAAAAAGTACAAACGTAGAGTATAAAACAGTTTAACAAGTCACAGGCACAATGAAAATAGCCAATTACTTTAAATTCATCTCCATAACCAAGTTTCCCTGCAGTGCAGAAACAAGCTTTACAGCAGTAACTGTGATCATAGTACAAATATGAAGGTGTCAAATTTTTAGGAAGGTTCATTTTGTAATGATTCTTGGCCTGGTAATAGTGACTGTCTTAAATTTCAACTTAAATTTCAATATCTTTTCAATTGTGCCTAGAGGTTTCTATTTTCAGTTTCTTTTCATCACATTTAAGATTATTGCTCAAGTTTTATAGACATACATACATCACTGCAGCTAGAGTTGGACACTCAAAGTACCAGTAAAACTAGGTAAAAAAAAAAAAAAAAAAAAAAAAAAAAAATCAGCTCTCGTGGCTAGCCATGGTTGTGATAACATTAATAATTGACAACAGAACTAAAGTGTCACAGAAATAGGTTCTTTTCTTTCTACTCCCTAGGGAGTAGATCCACAGAATCAGAGATCAGGCCTAGTAACTGTGGTTGCTGTGAGGAAGCGCGAGGCTTCTATCTACCCCGCACCTGCTCTGCAAATAGAAAGAGAACTATGATGTTGAATGCTTTTCAGTGACATACTTAAGAGCCTTTTATTTATTTCATATTTTTCACCCCAGCTTTTTTAGTTTTAAGACGTACTTACTTCCAGAGGACTTCCAGCTGTAGCTTGATAGTGCCCAGTTCAGTTATATCCACAATGATTGCTTGAGGCTTGGCTGTAAAGAAGTTTATGCTGTCACATGTCACGACACCAACTAGAACTGTGGCCAGTCCTCGCAGTTCTGTCACCTGCTAGGACAGACAAATATATCCGTTTTCATCTCAAAAGACAACCCTAAGAGTCAAGTGCATGGAAAGGAAATCATCCGTGGCTCAGATCTGCTCAGATGCCCAAACAAACTTAAAACCCTGATCTCTGATCCTAAACCGCTGTGAGCCAGTATTCCACAAAGAATACACCAAGAATACACCATGGATTGTTCACAAAAAAAAAAAAAAAAAAAAAAAAGAGAGGTTCAAGAGTAGAAGAAGACATACAGCTGTACAGTACATCTAATAACAGAAAGAGGAGGACAGTGTGAAAAATATTGGTCAGACTTCCATAAGTCAACAAAAAGCATAAAGCTTTATAAGCTCTTCTAAAACAAAGTGATTGCCTCAGAAAAACTTGTATTGCTTTACAACTATTATGAGAAAACAGCCTCTCAATTACCCTCTCACCCCATCTACATCACACAGTGGTACCAAGAGAGGTGTTATACAGATACCAGGTTCCAACCCAACCATTACACACCACACCTTGATTTCAAACTGCTCATGGAGATTGGGTATAAAGATCTTTTCTTCTTCATCCCATGTTTGGCTGTCATCAGTCTCGATCTTGCCTTTCAACTTCCATTTTTGGCGCCCCAGTCGCACAGAAACCTGGAAATCACAAGGAGGAAAGATGTTAGGTCAGCATATCGCCAGGGCCTTGCTCTCATCAAGATAGTGAACAGTTCTACCATAGCCTGTTTCCCACTTGCCTTCTACACGCTGTACCCTTGCTCTCCAGTTCCTCAACTACAAATTCACAGCAATAACATAAAGGACAAAATGAATTATTATATACTGCACCTCATACTGGTCACCTGGGCAGAGACGTGCAAATCCCACCAAGCCTGAAAAGAGAAGAAAAGCTCCTAATATTCGAAGAGTTTTACAGTGTCCCAACAAAGCCTCACTAAAGCAGTCAATAACTCCTTGCATTTAGCCTCATGCAGAAGCTATCCCACTGGGCCAAAACTCCTTGTCAGCTTCTGTACTCAAATATAAAGTAACATTCTAGATCTGTTTTACAGCACTGAAGCAAACAGAGGTTCACCAAAAATTCTGGTCAGGGTCAGACACAGAAAACGCTGGAAGCAACTCACATTAATTTCGGGTTTCCTAGGTAGAAACCTGATTCATTTAGAGTCTATTGAACTAACGAGTCTTGAAAGCAATGTGACAAGAACATACCTTTCATCTTCAAGTGAAACTCTCCTAAATGGACCTCTAACGCCCCTTCTATGAAGCACATGTCCTAAAAGAAAGAGTGAACAGTCAACTAGGACTGAAAAGCAGAGTGAATATAGTAGCGCCCTTTCCATACATGTCATGTTCTTACGCTATCTTTAAATGCCTTTGGCTTATATTTATTTTATATAAGACTAACACTTGCACTAGTGGAGGTCAATGGAGAGAACATTCATACCACTGTTAAGATAGGAAATTGCAGTGCCTCTCCACAAAAGAGTGGAACTTTCAATCAGTTCATCTTCACTTACTTTGCACTGCTTGTTCTATAAAAATAGCATAACTTACACATTTTTGAATCCAATACTCATCACATTACTTCCAGTGGAAGTCACAATGGACACCAACATTACAGCAGAAATGCAACAAGTTTTTCATTTGTCTTCACAGAATCATAGAATTGCTCTGGTTGGAAAAGACCTTAAAGATCACCAAGTCCAACCACAACCTAACCATACCACCCTAACTCTAACAACCCTCTGCTTCACGAGAACTTGAAGCCAAACTGAGTAGTGGACAAAAATGGAGGAAACCAGAGCTTTGCCTGAAAGGTTATTTATCTCATGAGTTTCAGTTCACATTATGTACGTATTTTAGTCATGTTAAGTTTCTAAATCCCCATTACTGGAAAAGACATCAACAGCTCCCGATGCTTTTTTTTGCTAAGCAACAGTCAGGTCTTCGCTACTCATTAGTGGCACTTCCTACCTCTGTACACTCCTGAAAGTTCTTATAGAGCTCCACTAGGCTCTCCCTGGAGGCTTTGGTGGAAGGAGACAAGGAAAAGGCACGTTTCATATTAGTGGCGCCATCTCGTAGTCTGCACTGGATACAATAAGCTTCATAGAGTTCTTCTACCTTTAAATTTGTGGATTCAATAAGGAACATTGTCAGTCTTTAATGGAGGGGAAAAAAAAGAAGACCCACAAACAAAACCCATTATCTTAGTACTGCAACATGCTGCAACTCATGCATTTTACAGATTGGTAGCAAGGTAACTGTTTATATTCCTGAAAACAAAGAGGAGGGGATATTGAGAAATAATTTGCTCTACAATTATTAGACTAGAAGACAGGAAGTAGAGTAACACCTTGTTAACAGCAAAATTACTCACAAAACAGGAAGCTGATTCTCTTAAAACACATTAATACACCTACAGCTTTAGTCATGTCTAAGGAGATTTAATTCTTTAGAAGCAGACGTGCATATTTCAGAGGTGATAGGGGATAACATGTAAATGTCCTAAAAGCAGAAGTACTTTCTGGAAAAACTGGCTGAGTATACAAATTGGTTTCACAGGCAAACATTCAGCCTGAATAGAAACATTCAAGAAAATAAATAAAAATCCCCTTCTTCCATAACAAAGTTGTTATAGCTTTCAGAAAGTATCCAGTATCATTTATCTTTAGAAAAACTATCATCAAACTATTTTCTATTTAGAGAGTTTGCTTATATAGAAATGTCTCACGCATACAAGGCAAAATTCCCTTACTTTGCTTATGTGGAATTCCAGTTTTCTAATGTATCTCTCCACAGAGCGAATTTGCTTTTGAAGTAGGTAGGTAGGTAGAGAGAGAGAAAAAACTTGATTAGTTTTTTCAGTATTTCCTAAACAAGTCTTTAAGTAACACAGTAAGCATCATTACTTTTCCCATTTCTGCAATACTCACAGTGCTTACCTTATCAAGGTCATAGTAGAAGGCCTGAAAGACAAATAGCACAAATTGAACAGAAGATCACATCTTTGTATCAAATTAACAACATTTTTATAATTTATGATGGAACTCACCATGCATTTAATCTAAATGCACTCAATTAATGTGTACTGTTCACTACAAGGAGCCAGCCCAAAAAACTTTAGAAGCAGTCTCGTTTTCTGTGTGTGGTTGGTTTGCTTCCCTAACTCCACCACAGATGCTAGAATTGAGACAGCAGCCCTGTCACCTTTAGATGTAACAAAGACTTGGATGCGGTCACGGCACATAGGACTTTATTTTTTTGCCTATCATTTCCCAAACGAAAGGAATTCTGATGTGTGAGTTATCTTCTCATTAACACTGTTGCTGAAGGTACTTTTAGGGAGTTGCGAACAGAGCAGAATCTATATTGCTAAGATACATTTATCAGCTATTAAAAACAAAGTGTGGTCTTTCTATTTCAGACTTGAGGAAATCTAACCCTAGTAAAAAAAGGAGTGCGATTTAAATAACAAAGGTGGATGCTGAAAGAGGGAAATTTCAAGTTCAGATCTAAACATAATTTGCTCCATAAATTCCAGATTGTGATGATTTGCTGGATCTCACCTCAGTGCTTTAACTAGAAAACCCCCAAGAGTTCAAAACGTGAGAGATATCATCTATTTTTGTGCCAGCCTTTTAAAATTCACTTAGTTATTAAGATCTACATACCAATCTGGAGTTCCTTTTTGTATCTTTGTGTCGATCAGAGAGATAATCCAATTCAGCCTGATGTGCTTCTAGGTACTCACTGGAGAGAAAGAAAACCAGAAGCATTACGTTTTTCTGGTACATTCATTATGGTATCTTCTCAAATATTTTTTTCAGCAGAATGTTAAAAAAACAAATTCCTTCTCTAGAAATTTCCCTTTTCTTCTCTAGAGGGATAAATGACTTTACAGATGGATATGGACCAACAGATGAGGAAGAGCAGCTTCCATTGGTAATTATTTGTTCTCAACGCCAAGTTATTCCTAGAAGATCAGGAGACAGATATACAGAGCACCTGTAAAAGAGGCACCTAGGTCCACTAAAATCTCAGAATACTTTTTGTGAGGTAGAAAAATCTGTTCATTTGTTCAGCAAGTCTTTTCTTACAGTTATGGAGGAGTAGGTCTTCATCAACCAACCCCATCTTAAAAAAAAAAATTAATAACCTGCAGCATTAACCATTGCATTACAGAATGAAACTTACAGAAATACTCTGTATGCAAGGTAGGGCAGATATCATCCACTGTTTTAGTATGCAGAACTGAATACCACCTTTTAGAACACTACACACTCCTTCATGCAACTGTCACTTTTTCCAGAGCAGGAACTATTTTGCAAAGTGTGAAGAACTTGATGCCAGTTGGCTTCTTTACAGCTGCTTGCACGCTAAGGTTGGCCCTTAAGAATTCTTATAAGGCCTTTAACTATTTCTGCTGAGAATATCTCCTTCCAATTCTGCTTTTAACGCAATGTGTGTTCCTCTCACTTTTAAAAGGGAATTAAAGCCACTTGGTATATACTATATAAGACACAGTCACAGAGCAGTTAAAATAATATCACACTAGTCAACTACTCTTCAGGTTTGCTTTGATGCATTTGATTGTCTTACTGTTACAAGATCAGATCACCCAAGGTTCTCAATGGCGGAGCATTCAGCTGCCTGCTCATCACACTTGCCCATTAATAGCTCACTGCAGGAGCATCCAGCACTGCTGGCAGGGAAGTTTGCTTTCCTTTTAGGAGAGCTTTGTCACTTTTAGGTTAAAGCATGCGAATGCTGCCAGCTTGACGGAATGGTACCCAGATGGTTAACAGAAAAAAGTTATTTGCTACAACTATTAAGAAAGAGGCACACATAACATTCTGTACTGAAAATTCAAGTTACTCCAGCACCAAGCAGTTTTAGTCTGTATCTACTTAAAATTTGGACTTCACATTGCCATGTGATACAGTTGTTTTCCGTAGGTTACTTTAGTCAATTAGTTAGCTGCTGACTTTTGGCAGGAGTCTGATCACATGGCGCTCTCTGCAGAGCTGGGAACAAACTCTGATCCACTTTATAGTTTCTCCTCCCTAAACTGTGCTAAATTCTAAACTCTGCAAAAACATTTAATTCCATTATTTGTTTTAAACCTAAATTCTAATAAGACATCTACTGATTCTTTTATTTATTTTAGGACCAAGACTTCATAGTTCTTTATTTGGGGAAAAAAAAAGTGACACTTGAGAGCATCATGTAAGTTATTAGGGTGCTTTTCATGCTCTTAAGAAAACTATGATCAGAATTAACACAGTAGCAAAAATTCTGAGGAAAACAAAAAAATACAGGAACAAGCTTCACAGGATGCCAACAGGAAAAAGATACAAGTTTTGCAAATCCAAGGGATGTTTTTTATCTTCTAACAGCAGCCTTAGAGCATAAATGAAGTTCCTACAGTATAAAACCATGTTCACTGACATCAACTCCAATGATCTAAGATGTATATTTTCATATAGTAAGGTCTGTGGATGCAGTCTAAAGTTTTAGTCACTGGTGGAGTCAAAGATGGATACAAATTATATCATTATAATTATATATGTGGCATTATATCACCACATCTTACTACAGTCTGCAATACCAAGAATGCAAGCTCACCCATGTTTTATTCGCCATTTAAGCACTAATATCAGCATTTCAGTGATGAAACTGACAGCTTCCTCAAAGCCAGAACACCCCAAATTCACACTGCCAGCCCTCTTTGATTTCTGTTATGCCTGCTGCATACACCCATGTCTGCCAGACAGAGAGAACATACAAATTGGACCTTTTGTCCTTTTTAGTCAAATTCATACTAATGCAGCATTGTCCACGTGGTCTGAAACAGTACTAGCTTTAAAGCAATAAAATTGAAGTAAGGAGCTTAATCTTGTTCGTACTGCCATTGGAAGATGAGGTTATGCTATAGATTCGTTTCATCACCTCAAGTCAACTAGGTTTTTCATATGGATCTGCTCAGACCTATACCTTACAACAGCTCTATAATATCTTTTGTGTCATGTAATCCGCATAGAGATAACAGAAACAGCTGTTTCTGTTATAGCTCCTCCTCTAAAAGCTTTCTTCAAATTACCTCCAAAATCCAGCTGTCCTATCCCTCTTCAATTATCTTCTTTATCTTCAGGCTTTCTGCTTCCTACTCTGTATCCTCTGAAAGCCTCCCTTTCTTGAGATATCTCAGTTGCTCCAGAAAAAAATAGGCAATTTCCCAACAGAGTTTTACTTGTCACTGATTTTTTTTTTTTTTTTAAAGAAGTATAACAAACAAGGAACAAACAAAAAACATCAGAGGACCTTGAACATTTTGTTTGTGAGCAGATTGGCTGAGCACAAACGAAACTGTCTTCCAAAATTTCAAACCAGTGCCTAGAAAAGTTATTATGTAAATTTAGGTATGACAAATGGAGACAGAGAACAACATGATATACAGAGTTAAGCAGCATGACTTGGTATGACAAGTTACAGTATTTAAGAGTCCTTACTTAAGTCCTTTCTTCAAAGCTTCAAAAATTTTCTTCACCTGCAGTGGTTTTGGATCCCAGATGACTGCCCCTTTCTGCAGTGAAGAATAAGCCTTAGGGGATTTCAATGACATTCTTGATCTTACTGAGCTTCTGCTGAGAGACTTTCTGTAGGAAAAGAAAGGAAATAAGGAAGAGATGAAAAATGCACCACCTGGAAGAAAAGAGATATCTACCCTACAGTTAGTTTCCAGCCTACAAGTTATATATGCCCCATCCCACATAGCTTTATTGAAAAGAATAAGGCTCTTGATACAGCAAGAACACTTTCACAGATAATATTAGAAAATTAATGCACAGCGTCAAATACCCAATGCAGACAAGGCACAAATTCTTTCGTGACTCCAACAGAACTAAGAAATGGCTGCTAGAAGCAGACTTAAGGAAGAGCCCTCAGGCAAATAAACCGTAAACAATCACATTGTCATCATTTCTCCAAGCCTTGCTTGGCAGTAGCTAAGTCTCTAATTCCACACACACATTCACACTGGCTGTTGAGCTAACTACAGAAACAGTCACGTAAGTCATGCTGCAGGACAGGATCACCCTCATTCTGTCTCTCATCTGCAATCCAGTAAAGTAAGGCAACAAACCTTTGCTAACAACTACAAACCAGAAGTAGATTTCAGGAGAATTCTACTCTCCAGCTACCAGTAAACTCTAGAGAAATACCTAAAAATTTACATTTCTAAACATTCCCTTGGGCACAAGTACAGAGTAGAACAAACACACATGATTAGCCTTAAAACATTACCAAGAGACTAGATAAGCTATTATCTTTTGGACTGACAAAGCTAACATAAAAAAACCTTTAGAGTTCTTTGCCAACCTTCATCAACCACTGAAAAGATCATTTAGACCCCCAACATATTATAGGAAAGCCTACTGCCAAGCTCAGGTTACATACAAGATATAATTATCAAAGTGTTTTTTCCAGTATCTAACACCTCACTTACTTTAAAAAGCAGCTGCAAAAACAAAATTAAATATCATCTCTAACAGAAGTCCCATACATAGGGCTATTTTCACTAACCTGAGGAATTACAACACTCTATCTATATTCTCTTTCAAAGTCTCAATTAGTTTTATCCAGCTTTGTTAATACTCCCCGAAAGCCAAGCTTCTAAAATAACACTGACTTAAAGAAGGTTCCTATTCCATGAAGCTGAGACAACTGGTTGCATTCAGAGAAGCTTTCCACCTTCTCTATTATTTCCATCCTAAATTCAGTTCACCTGGGAAAATGGCGAACTCAAATAGACTTAATAATTATCCACTGGTTGCCGTAAGGTGTAGGCATGTGACTCAGAGCCTAATGAGATTATCAAGCTGGGTGATGGAACAATTATCCTGGTGCTCAGTTTCTGCTTTTCTTTTAACATCTAATCTGCTACCACAGATCACTAGATATTTAGTTTCTTCACCCCAATGATTATATTAAGTGACTTTTTTTTTTTTTTTTTTAAATGATGGCTTAATGTAAAGCGTTGATCAATGAAATCATTTTGAGCTTAGGTTACCTATACCAAGAACATAAATGCTAAATTAAAAAATCACGATACCACTGTGGGTTTTTTTCCCTCTAAAATAACAAATCTTTGAGTATTTCATGCAAAGCGAGAGGCTTTCAATAGGAATAACACTGGAAGTAACAGTCCAGCCACTAACAACAGTTAAAACCACCTCCTGGAATGATCACTAATTAAAATTCCTTTATGCAAAGAAGAAAATAGCATCCATATTCATATTTTAGATAAGTATTCTAAATGGCAAGGTACCATACAGAACATAATTCTGTCTTTTGAAATTAAAAAGCCCAAATTACTCTTGTTTTTGTTTGTCTGGGGGGATGAAAGGCTTTGGTGTTTACCTTCAGAGTTTTGGGCTGCGAAGCCTAAATTTAGGAAACCACCTTCCTTCAGTTTCAAGTATTGCATGTGTATGGGAACTGCTGAGTCACGGCCTGAACCTCTGATGGATCACCTGAGGCGAGCACTGAGTCAGCCCTGGGAGCACAGCTGAAGGCAATTCACCTGTGCTGCTGGAAGGGGTGGAGCCTGGCTGCACTCCTCCTAGACCTATTGAAGAGCTGCTGCCAGTGGGGAAGGATCTCTGCTGGAGTTTTGTAGGTGAGCCCAGCATAAGGATAAGCCTTCCATTTATTCTCTTTTGTTATCATTGTCCACTTTGCCTAACTCTCTTGATTTTATTGTGATTGTAACGTCTTGATGTCCATTGATTATACAGCATGTAAACAATAAATAGGGATGGACTGTGATTTAAAACTTACTTTTCTCCAGTATCTTCTGGGTGACGTAGCCAATAGGTATTACTCAGGATACTGATGTTTAGAATCCTATTTTCATACATTGAATAGAAATGTTGAATATAGCTAGCTTGGGATTTTAAGGACAGCACTTAAAGGTGGCTGCTGTGTTACTGCTTTCCCTTGTGAGCTTAGTAATGTATCAGATTTCCTATTTTATAGGTAACAGTAATAACATTTCCTGTGGAGACCACGGCGAAGAAAAATTAAACAGTGTGTCTGATTGAGAGCCTCAGAAAGTTGCTAAACAAATACAAAAGTACATTTAGCATCTGTTTAAGAATCCACGTGGACCTGATTTGTGTGTCACTCTTTGAATAAACCTTGCATTGGGCCCCTGCAGTCTCCTGCTGTGTTTTGCAACATTGTTTGAGAGAGAATTAAGTTAAGAGAGGGTAATTCTAAGACTTACCACGTTGGAGAAGGCTCCACGTTTGCCAGGTTATGATTGAGTAGCTAGTACAAAGATCTCTCTTAATATCATGATTCCTGAACAAAACTGTTTGACTAAACACTTAAATAACAAAAAGGAATATAAGAAAAAATATATGATACATAGAAAAATATATAGGCATTTGGCTAGAAAACCACTGCAGCTAGAAATAACAGATTTATCTTAAGGGATAAAGACGTTTTTCTGTTTTGAGCATTCTTAGACTTTCTTTATTGGAGAAACAGCTGTACCCCTTTCCTGGTAGATCCTTTCCCTGCTGCAATTCCAACAATGTACTTGAGCTCAAGTCTGTTTATGTAATTTATTACCAGTGCTTCTTCAAGATCATTGGTGTAATTTCAGATGTTTAATTCTTGCTGAGTGTAGGACTATTTTCCAGCTTCCACAACAAATTAATTTACTCCAATACAAAGACTTCTTGATCATATCGCAGTCATGCTGGAATTCCATTTCTGCACATATCTTGTACCTTACTATGATATGTTTACCTAAAAGTTAATGTTGTCTTTTGGTTCTTTGAAAACATATTTTACTAAACAAGTCCAGAATTTTAGTGATATACACCTCGATTTTTTTTTTTTTTAGTACTCTAATACTTTTAGAGGCACACTTTCCAATAACTCTATGATACCTAGAAATAATTTACTTTGTTTTTACTCCAGTGCGCACTGGCAGCCAGAGATGATACTACTTTGAATTCGTATATCACATCTTCAAAAAGCATTCCACAGGCTATACAAATAAATTAGGGATCACTAAATGCAGAAGAACAAGAAGAACACTTCTAGAGCGAAAAAAAGCTGGATAGTCATCTGCATAAAGCAATGCTACACAACTACATAAGATAAGCAAAAAGGGAAAAACAGTGCTGGATGGTTTAGCAGTTACTGTGTTGGACTGAAAACCGAAAGATTGGATAGCAACCTTGGTTATACTGTTGACCTGTCACTGACAGTAGTGAATTTGCAGTAGCCTTCTTGACCTCTCTGTCTTCCACCCTTGCTCTTGTTTGTGGCATTGCCAGAAAGCAGTCCCTCCTCTTGTGTTTTGCTACTCTGCTTAAATAACTCCAGGAGAGTTTTAGTCAAGCTCAATTACATATTTTGGCAGGATTCACCATTAATATCTATCTTTTCAAAGGTCTATGAGATTTTTAATTACCATAGCTATACTGAACACTTTCCATTTTATCAGAACACTGGTATTAGCCAGAACATATCCTTTATTATAAGGGTCATTAGAACAGGCCTGAAGGAAAAATGTCTCCTACTAGAGTACTAATACTAATTCTTGAGCACACTGAGATCCCAAGAACTAATTTCTGGAAATTAGAAAACTGGTTTTTTAAAATGACACAGGTAAATAATATTAATTTTAGTATCAGACCTACTTCAGCATTTGCAAGTGAGGTCATCTCTGCAATCATATCCACTTTTGAGCTCCAGTGAAGTGGAGGTCAGTAATTACAACAGTCTCTGTAGCACCTTCCAGACTGATTTTTTTTTCTTTTTTTTTCTTTTTTTTTTTTTAAGAAATGGATGCTATCTAGTTTCTGATACATAACTTCTCTCACAGATCAGAAATCCAGCCATCTCTAAATTATAGTGTGTACAGTAGTAAGATAATACAATGTGAAGTGTAACAGTTAACACTGATCATGACAAGAGTCAATAGTTTTAAATAAAAAATGAAGGAATGACTCCTATGTACAGACGTTTTGTGTTGAAAAATACATTCCTAGTATGTAATATTTATTGTCTGGTGGGTCAGGTACTTTTTTGATTGTTTTACTTACGCTAATTTTCTGCTCTGCACAGTGCTGAATCCAGTGAAGGAACAACTCCTACTGATACCACCTCCATCACCAGAAGAGACGAATGTGAGTTTGACCGACATGACCCCAATCAGTAAGTCTGCTGGATTCTGAAATAAACAGAAAAATAAATGAGTTGAAATCTTGGCAGTTCAGGCTTACACCTGTGCTGTTGCAAGTGCTGAGCTGCAAGAAAGTGGAAAGCCAGAAAAAATGCAGATTAAATAGAAAAAAAAACCACTTGTCTGCTATACACGTTTCCTCTGTTGCCACGCACAGAATCAAAGAATCACCACGATTGGAAAAGACCTCCAGGACCATCAACTCCTACCTAGCACCAATACTTCCTCACTAAACCACGTCCCTTAGCACAACCCATGTATTTCCACATCGGTTTGAATGCCAGAAGAATACTCAAGCTCTCAGCTTGGTTAGGTCCAAAAAGTAGTACCTTACATCTGTGCAGAGCCACACTCAAGTCTGGCAGAACCGGCTTGAGTGTGGTACTTAAGCCCAGAGCTGAAGTCTGGTTTCAACAGTAAATTTCTTTTTTGTGCTGCTCCTCCAGCAAGATCTCCTTCAGATTGCCGTTTTCTGTTTTCCATCAGTCAAACTCTTGCTTTCTGGAGAATTGTGCTCTTTGCCACATGTCAATAGAATCCAAGTTACAATGTAAGTAACAGACATATTCCTCAAAGCAGCTGCAGAAAATCACTCAGACAGTTAATATACAGAAGAATTCCTTTCCTTCTCCCCTCAAGCTGGTGTAATGTAAACACCACAACTAGCAGCTTTGGTTTTAATGAGGCCAAAATGGGGGCCAAACCCTAATTTCCTCTCTTAGTTCGTGCTTCTGACTCACAAAAAACGTGAAATTATTGAGAATTCTTAACTGATTAAAAGAAAATATGATATAAATTTGCATAGAGAAGAACAAACTCCTACAGAGAGCTCTAAATGCAGACGCTCCATGGAAAAGTTTTTCCTCTATTACAAATGAGCTTCAAAGATTAGTGAGATCACCCAATCTATCAATGTAGATACTGGAAAGGAGCACCTCCACTAAACCCAATGTCCCTACATTATCCCAGCAGCATAAGTACAGCTATCATAAAATCACAGAACAGAATTCAGACTAGAAGCCACAAAGTGCCAGGATAAGACTTTTCTTGGCGAGCAATCTCACTCAATATTCTTCCAGACTGCATATAAAGAACTGAACAGTTGAACAAGACTATCCAAGAGGGATGAAATTTCAGCGCTTTGCTGAATCTGGGCTAGTCTACAGGTACACAGAGAATTACTGTAAGTTACTATGCTTTAGGTATCCTTATACAACAAAGTAGTAATTAAAGTTGTCATGAGTTTTTGTTAGTAGTGAGAATTGATTAGTTCTTTCAAAGCCACTCATGGCTACAAGCTGAGGTCAAAGACTCCTATTTCATTGCCTGTCCTACAAGTTCTGACAAGCTCATGAATAAATCCATGGGAAAAAAAAAGAAAAAAACATTTTAGAACAAGATATGAGAGTGACAAATTTGAGGCAAACAGCTATGTGCTTTGCAAGCTACCTAGTTTGTTAAACAGAAGAAAAATGCTGGGGATAGCTAGTGGTTTTATATGTCAGGGCGCTGAAGCTCACAGAACTCCACAGCTTCAGCAGCATCAACAGAAATCTGTTACACACGCAAATATAGGTGCACATTAATCACATTTTTATCAATCTCTTCAGGCCCCTTGTCTTGAAATGATGCCTCTTTAACACCCCTAAACAGACAGCATACTCGCGTCACATCAGATTTGATGTTTCAAAATATTTTCCATTCTTTCCTCTAGTTTTCAGACGCTTCTGTCTGCAGTTATCCCATCAACAGGATTGTTACATTGAAAAAAAATTCTGCAACTTACTGAAAAATGTCATTGCACAATGAGCTGTTAAAGGAAGGAATGGAAGGAATAGCCTTAGAGTTACTCACCACGTCCCTCCTGAAGGCTGAGAGATTTCCAGGAACAATCCCTCAGCTCCCTGACCTGGGAAGTTTATTTCGTGAGTAAATGGGAAGGAGGAAATGCAGGAAAAGCATGTGTGATCTTACAAGATTCCTAAAGCCTTTGTCAAATGAGACTGGAAGCTTTTCAAATAAATATATATGAAACAAACTAAAACAGAGAGAACCTTAATGGGGAATGGGAAATGGAAAATGAATTTTTAAAAAGTACTCCTGAAATAAAAATGCGTGGCACTGAATTGTAGATGTGAAGAGGTGAGTTTGAAATGTACAGACTCAAACCTCAGTTGGTGAAAGAAATAAATTGCTTAAACTGCCTAGATTTGCCACGTGTTTTAATAAACCAAATACAATTTCTGACACGCTCATCAGTAAAAGAGAGGAAAGATGAATTGGATCTCACTTATGCATAACCATAAGCACTTACAAATACTGGTAGGTTGTTTTTTCAACAGCACAGTGTTCAGTGCTCCAGGTCACTTACTGTGTCATGCCCAGCTGCCATGGACAGCTACCCTCAAATACAGTTCTCAAGCACATTTTCACAGTTCCTTTAAGAATGAGAGAATCTGAATAATGTTAGGAAAGCACCCTTAAAGGGATTATCTCTCTTACCTTTGAATAATGCTGATAAAGTCAAATACCTCATGGTATTCACCTGCATATACAATATTGGTAGTAACCTAGGAATGTAACAGCTCATTTCATACACAGGATCTGACAAGAAGGCTATAAGAAGGATGTCATGGCAACATTTTAATAGTAAGAGAGATTTACAAATGCAATTGTTTAAACATGGGTTTGCTAGCCAGAGTATCTGTACAGAAGTGCTGAGCTATGTTACAACTGCTGTGAGAAACAGCATCTGGACATGTCTCAAATTCAACTGTCCCCTTAGGCTAAGAATAAATCAGATAAGGACACCCCACGCACTGTTTCCACAAAGCCAAGTCTCTGTCTTCAAAGGTGTAATCTCTGCTCCATAGGTCAATGTCTTCAAAACTCTTAAATACCAGGATTATACCCTGGGGAGCAGAGGTACTTCCTCACTCTTAATCTTCCCGAAAAGCACAGAATGTGAATACAGTAGCATGAGGCTGGCATATGTGGAGCATGAAAACAAATGTCCAAAATGAAGGAGTTTACTGCCAGAGGCAATAGAACAACAGAACAAACAACTGGAATAAAACAGAGCATCTTCAGAAAGTCTTACAATGTTTCTGAATCCTAAACAGACGTATGAACTGCTACGTACTCAAATATATTAATACTTGCAACATTGTGAGATTGAGATTTTCAAGTCTTAGAACACAGGTTTGTAATATAAATCAAGAGGTTTTTTGTAAAATTAAGGGAGTATGCTTATCTGTACTTCATATTTCAGTAACTTGCCATGTCCCAATAGACTATTAGCATCTCACCCTCACTATGACCAATTATTCAGACATACAGGGATAAATGTTTGAGTTTTTATGTGCAGCAATGAGTCCGCTCAATCTGCATGTTCTCCTCAGTTAGCACTAGGGGATTACTTAGGCCAAAGGGCTTTCATCTTCTACAGAACAAAAATTGGTGTCTGTGTTTGTGGTTAAACTTATCCTACCCTAGTCACATACTTAATTGTTTTAGGGCACAATGGCTTCAACAGTTTTATGTGGAAAACATGACTCACTGACTTACTGCAAATACTTCTGCTTGTGTTTTGCACTTTAAACTAGTAGCCGTGACTTTCTTTTAGAGGTTCTCTTGAACTTGGTAAACTACTGCTAGAGTAAAGTATTCATACTTTCTTAATGTTGGATTCTTTCCATTTGAGAATGACCTTTCGGTTAAGAGACACACTTCTTTCTAGTTGTGCATCTGCAAAAAACTGTACCAGACTTCTGTTTCTTTCAGCTAACTGTGGAAACTTGCATCACACCAACAGCCTGGGCAACAAGTAGCTCTGTATTTCATTAGGATGTTGGTACCCATTGTTCACTGGCTTCAACAAGCAGCAGCTCACAGACTCACAGACCAAAAACCACATAGAAATCAAGTAAATTATTAGTTACTATAGAAAACACCGCAGAACAAGACTATTTAACTCTAATGATCAATGTGATTTTAAGAACCCATTTGTGATTCTGGAAACATGTTGTGATCATGACAATTTGCCTGATGTCACTTCATGCTAACATTTTCCTTTATTATTGCTCTTATTTTTGTACATAATTTTGTTTGAAAAGTTACATTAGCTGTACTTGGGAGGATGAAAGAGCCATTCTATCTTCTTGTAAACTGAGTTTATTTAATTTTGCACATAAAAAACGTATTTTCACAACATAACCCTCTTCTCAGGAAAATCCTCACATTGGAGGGATGCTAACTACAACGTCTTTTTAGTGCAGGGTTTTAGAAAATTCAATTCTCCCCCACGACAACCATACAAATTTGCTGGTTTTGGTTCTATAACATTTCTCCCAAACCTCAGTTTTCACTGTATATAACTAATACAAGATGAACATCTAAAGACTTTGGAAACATACAATATTGTCAAACTATTTGAACGAAGTCTGAGGGATGTTTGGACTGAGCCACTGAAGCTTCTTCCTGTGATTTCAATGTACCTTGGAGCAGGCTGGAAATTTCTAGATCTCAGCACTTACTTTCCATCAGTGGAGATCCAAACAACCAGTCTTTAAAGTTAATGAAACTCCTGCGATGTTGCAGTGTCACAAGTCTGCCCTAATTACTCTAAACTTATACGTAATGAAGACTGTCAGAACAAAGAATGAAGTGACCGTCCTGCGTACAGCACAGTGTTGAATTCAGTGGGAAAATAAACACTGTATTTAATCTTTGCTCTCAAGCATTCTTTAGGAAAACCACTGACCTCAGTGGCAATATCTATTTGCTAGAAAAACATTCCAAATTTATGATTAAAACCCCTTAACTTTTAAGCATTTTTGTGCAGTTATCACACAAACATTCTATTTATACTGTTCTTGGCAGAACTAAGAAAAATTTCTCAGGCTATTTTTCTAGAGATTAACAGACACTTGATTTAGAGAGACCAAAGTGCCTTAGATGCTACATCTCAATGCAGCTATTCTAATTCAGCTTTAAACATAAACAGGGACCCGTTCTTCAGATACATCCTTTCCATGAAAATTTGCAGTGCAATGTGAATAGGCTTTATGTAACCCACTGCAACACAGAAATTCTGATTTCTGGATATCATTCATCTGAAACTGGCATCTGGCACCAACACATACAACCTGTAACTAGGCCACCATATAGGGCAACTACAAATAACAGAAAACCTATGCTTGATATTTTATCAAATTTATACGGTAGAACAGATAATGGTGACAGAGAGAAGTAGCTGCCTGCAATGAGCTTTTGAATATTGTTCCCCTGGTACATGTATTGTCCATTTCTGAACCACAAAGAACTAAATTTTGCCTTTTCTTTGCAATTTTCCTGCTCATCTCCTTCTCCACTCTGGTTCCTCTAATGAGAAGAAAACACAGTAGACGGCTGAGCTTGCTCAAGTTCTTTGCTGAAAAATGCAATCCACGCAGGAAACCCTCTTGGTGCTGTGAAGTCCACTGGATTTAGCTGTATAGATCCACAAGCAATCATTCTTCTACCATATTCACCAGACATTTCTGCGCTTTTAAGGCTGAGCAATATGAGCAATTACAAAGCAGCTTTGCAGCAAATGGAAGATTTTGCTTCTCTACATACCTGCACAAGCATTCCACAGTTTTTTGGCCTAAACACATCTAACTCAGATTGTTAGACAGGCCCCTTTCTTTGCACCACACTTCCATGTGTCTGATAGTATTTTCAACATCCCAAACGATTTGGGAATATAACTCCAATCTCAGTAATAATTTAGGATCCTAAGATCTAGTTACATTGATTTTTAATAATAAGTATTATATTACTATTTCACATTATTCAGAAAGATAGGGCCTTGAGGTATTACTCATTTAGGTACTTCTGAAAATATTATTTTTTTCTGGGCAGATTCAATTCTTAAGTATGTATTTAAATACTACATTTCTGACATAGTTTCCTCCTAGCTATATTCAAGCCATAAAGCCAAAATCAGATAAACAACTTTGATCCAAGTTACTGCTTTAGTCATTAGGCCTTTCTACAGCTTTATGCCAGCTTCTGGAAATGAAGTTTGCCATACAGCAATAAATTTAAATATCATAAGCAGTTACCTCAGAGAGCTTGAGTTAGGCTCAGAGAGCCTAAGACAGCTTCTCCTGTGCTGGAAGTAGTGTCTCTGTTGTAGCACTTCCAGTATAGCTCTTTGAACACAGGACTCAACTTTCAGGTCCAAGATGACCTGTTTTTCAAGCCTGCAATCCAATATGTTACTGTATTTCCAATTACTTTTCATCTAAGCATACAGACCCAAGTTCTAATCTCAGTGACAGTGGTGCACAACCAGAGGAGATCAATCAGTCATTTATTCCAGACTTCTGCTAGAATCTGGGCAGCAAAAGTTGGCCCATATTCAGTTAATGACCTGGAAACTATTTTTCAAGGCAAAATTTTGCAGTCAATTTTGTAACTCCCTCTAGTGGCAGCAGATATCAAACAAATGAGGCACAATAGAGACCTAGGGCACATACTGCACACTGCCTGTAATAAGAGAAGGATCAGAGACTGCACATAGCCAGAATCCCCGTTTATCTCCTTTGCCAGTATGTGGCACGTTCATGTAGCCACATGCAGTTTCCCCACATTTTGCAGACATCACCGTTCTTCTGGTTGCTGTGAGTACTTCTGCACTAAGTTTTGCTTTCCTCTTCAGGGAAAGGCACAGAACAATCCACTCATTATCAGCTGATTTATGAGCACAGGGTTTGCTCCTAGCTTCTCTGGTTTCAATTTCAAACCTGATGACAAACTTGCAACTTGAATCAGAGATTGAGGAATGTGGCAGGCTCCACACGCTAGTCTGACTTGCAGCTTTTTCGGCATTGGCAGAATTTGACTCTGCAGTGAGCTACATTCTAATGAATACTTAAAAACAAATTCCTAACAATAGAAGAAGCAGATGGCTTTGGGAGAGAGCAATTTACAAGCGATGAAGTGGCTCTTCCATTTCTGACAAAGAAAAATTTGCCCAGCAGCAAGACACTGAATCCTACATTCTGTCTTTGGGAAGTCCCTCCTTCTTAATTAAAACCACCAAGGAAAATTCTTCTGTAAGATATTTCTCATTCTCCCAGCTTTCCCCAAACTATGCCTTAATATATGTACAGATAGACTTTCTGTACGTGATCCTGTTTTCATCCACCAGCAAATGCAGGAGCCTGCTAAAAGGCAATTTCCAAGTCAATTATGAAATAAGAAATATCCCTTATCACAGCCTTAGGGTTGCAGAAAACCCCAGATCTAAGCTTCAGCAGAATCCACTACAATGTGTGTGTATATATATACATATATATATATATATATATATACATTCTGTCTATTACTCCAAGAAGGGTATATTAACCAAAACAGATGATAATCTTCCACTAATAGTGCAATGTGATGTTCTACAGGGTGTGGGATGTCTTCTGATACCTTCAAAAACTGAAGGCTATGAATCAGACTGTAGTGGTATGTCCTGGGACATGCTTCTGAAGTAGGACAAACCATTTGTCATTGTGCCATCTGATCACAAAACTGTCTTTTTATTAGAGGGAATGGCCTCGAGTTGTGCCAGGGGAGATTCAGGTTGGATGTGAGGAAATGCTTTTTCCCCAGAGCAGTCAGGTGCTGGAAAGGGCTGTCCAGGGAGTGGTGGAGTCACCGAGGTGTCCAAGAAACGGGTAGATGTTGTACTGAGGGATGTGATTTAGCGAGAAATATTCGTGACAGCTGTACAGTTGGACTGGGTGATCTTAGAGGACTTTTCCAGTCCTGGTGATTCTATGAATTAAGCCATCAACTTTCTACTGCAACAACGTTTTATTCCCGCAGGTATTATTAAGACAGTATTGTACCACAGAAATAATGAAGTTGCTAAGTTAGGACCAGAATCTCAAAGAATACTGGAAAAAGAAGCAGAATACAAAACAGGGAAATAGTTGCTCGGAAAGAGATAGAAGTTGTATTTTAAAGTGAAGTAGTTTCTTTAATGCTAAGTAGGCATAGACTTGCTTTCTTCAAAGTCAGTAGTTCCAAAAATGATTAGTGAATCTTGGTTCCTATTTTAAGATAATTGAAAAGGGTGATTTTTAGAAAGGGACATCAAAATTCTGACAATGTTTCTCATCAGCTAACAGCTGAATTTTCAGAAATAATTTGGCATATTTCAACATTTTATCTAGGATGAATTTCTTCAGTATCTTCTAACACAGGCTTGTACTCATATTTTCTAACAAATTAGGGAAGGTATCATAGCATACCAACACTGTGTTCTGTGCCAAAGTTCCCTTTCTGTAGACACTCCAATGCCATGTGCGTTTCCTTTTGGAAAAAAAAAAAAAAATCAACCTCCTAGTTTATGTTTATATATCTGTACTTTCCCCTTCATTTCCTACCAATTCCTAATACATACGCTCTGACATTCATGGCCCACGTTTTTTTAATGCTATTATTCTCTGCTTTTATTTGGTTTGAGTTTGCTCTTAATGAGGTGAACTTTGCACAGCCCAACTCCAGCTCCTATAAAATCTGTCATAAATGGCCAGATTTAGCGATTTTGTACAGAGAAAAAAAAAAGCGTACATACCACACAGCTGTACTTGGAAACAGATGTTTTACTCCCTTTAAAGTGAACTAATGAGGGCGGGGATATGGAACAGATAGGACAGGAACATTTCTGCCTAGATTTTGAATTTGAAATTTTGGAAACGGTGCAGAAAAGAATGGTGGGGGAGAAGGGTGGTAAATCCACTGACAAAATCTGCACAGCTGCGCTGACATCAAGGCTCTCTCCAGTGTCAGTTCCATCCAGCAGCTCAAGAGAGTATCCCATAAAGTGAAGGCCAGATCTTCATTTGATGTCAACTGCCGTAACTTTATTGAAATTGATCTATTTATAGAAGTTCAGGATCTGGTCCTCTGTGTCCTTGCATTCAGCAAGAGTAAGAATCTCTAAATCACATTTTTCAAGGCTTCTGTAAAACAGAAGGGAGATCAGATCAGATGCTCCAAAAACCACAGCTTCTGATGAACATTTGGTGAAAGTGAATAATTTTTAAACTGACTTGGCCCACCGGTGTGGCCTTAAAATATGGAATCGTATGCTGCTAGTTCAGAAACATTTTTAGCACCTCCACCTAAACTTGCTCCTAAAGACACATTCAGAGAATGAAGAAACTTGTGATCATGATTCAGCTCCATTGGAGAGATGCATCAGTTCTGATTTTGTATAAAAAGATGCATCAGGTTTCCCCTCTGATTCCTAGCCTAAACTTAAAAAAGAAAAGAAAAAATTCTTGATTTGTCTTCATATGTTGTTCATCAGTCTGCTCACTTATAGCACAGATCAGACGCACAGCAGCAAGAAAGAATCATCTGCTGTATAAGGCTGTGTGAGACACGGTCATTGCATGTAGAGCAATGTGGGCTTAGTGGGGCCCTTCCTCCCCTGGGGACTACGGTAATATAAATTATTAATAGTAAAAATAAACATTGGCTAGCTTGAACTTCTCTTCATTCTCCTAGATCTTCTTTTTGTAATGGAATTAGCTAAATAAAGCCCACTTGAAAGAATGTTTCATTGCAAACTATCCAAACAAAACAAAATTGAGATAATTGGTTCTTAAACATTAAACACTCCAAAGTAGATTGCTTTGGAAGCAGCCAACAAAGCAATGTATATTAGGATACATATGGTAAATTGAATAGTTAATCAAAACGCAGCCTAAACGAGATTACATTTACTTTTAAACAGATCTTCAAGTTTTGTCAGTCTGATTCTGCCTGGAAGATACTTTTGGATGAACAGAATTGCAACAATATACTTTCCAAACTCATAAATCAAAAGAGTTAAACTCACAGACTCACTTCTGGACATAGTTTGACTTTGAAAGATCTAGATCATCTATGCTGTAAAACCTACTACCCCTTAAACCTATTCTAGTCTAAAAATGTTATCTTAGCAAAGACTACTGTTTCAAGTGCTTATTCTAAAACATTTACTTTCCTGAAAGTTGCATAGGGAGAGCTGACATAAGGAGTTCTGACAAAAGATCTCTGAAGGAGTGTGGTGATGCCTTCCACCAGAACAACTGATTACGGAGTTCACATCTGCCTTGGCCTCCACAAACTTCCTTTCTTCAGCCCTGTGATTTTGTTACTGCTATTAAATTCTAATATTTCAGTCAGCAAATACAGAGTGTCTGTTTTGGTACGTGAAGTCTCCCTTTTGTTACCCCTTAGAATAGTTAATGCACTTGCTACGTATTTCTTAAAAGTATTCCTAGCAAGACAAGAAAACGATCTCTCTCACGACAGTAAAATTTGGAAAAACAAACGAACAAACAAACAAAACAACAACAAAACAAGAAAACCAACCAAAAACAAACAAACAAACAAACAAAATCTAATTTAGAAAGTAGCAAAAAGTAGAAGAATGGTAACCAAAATCACAGAGTAAAAAGGATTTTAAAAACTAACGTACAGTAGAAGAATTTTTCTTTGGAGGTCTGCCGTGTGCATGAAAACAGACTAGTGGTAAAGCACTGAAAGTGCAGTTCTGAATGAGCCACATGTTTACCTTCTCACTTATCAATAACTGACATTAACAAGACTTCTGCCAGAGATAATACATTCCTGGAAGCGACGGGCTCTTCACAGTCATCGAGCATAAGCTGCTCACTGGAAAAGATAGACATTACTTGAAGTGCTAAGCAGAAGTTGCTCAGTAGCAGAAACAGCTGAGTTGAAACCATGCTTAGTCCAAATGCTAACCCAACGTTAAGGTCCCTTGAACTGTTGTGAATACCATCAACAAATGTGACAAGAGTCACTTGTGAAAATGAGTTTTGTTTGTGCACCAAAAGAAAATATCAATCAGACCTCTGTCTCAAACTTCTTCACAGACCATGAACTCCAGCCTTTGCTCCCCGAGGACTCAAAGCTTTTCTTATAACTAGCAGTCACAGCTGCATAGGGGTTCATATCCCACAGTTTTCCTTAGATCTTGGACTGCTTTACTCTGCATCTACGCTGAAGTATGACAACAAAATTCCCACAGAAGAGATAAGTGAGAACTTCTGACAGTTTATTTCTTCTTCTACCCCAAAAGATGCAGGCAAAAGAAGTATTCTAGATGATTATTTTGCTAGTGGAGCTAAATCTTTTTGAATTTTATATTTCAGCATTTCTTTCAGCACTCATAGCTATGCCAGAACCTCCATAACACAAGTTTTCTATAGAGCTTCTCCAGAATACTTAGCTGTGTAATAACTCCAGAATAGTTTTGATAGGTATTAGTAGACTGTAGATAATGTAAATAATAGAGTACAGCTACATTATCAGCACCTCACTCTATCAAAATATTGGTATTATTTACTACTAAGATGCTTCTTGAAGGAACAAAACAATCCAGCAAGGCTGTACTTTCTATAAGCACCCTTTATACTTACACTATCTAAATTTACTGTGCACTCTAACAGCTTCTATACACACATCTTCTGCTAAATCAGCCATGTTGACCAATGAGAAAAAGATGGGAGGTGTCAAATCAATTCACTGTACATACTGATCCTTAATTCATCAGCTCCTACTGTCTTAAAAGAATGAGGTCAAAAAACAGTCACTTTCAGAACATGGTATGCAGGAAAATGACAGTAGGTTTGTGTTTAGTTACAGTTCACAGAGCTGCAAAGAGATCTAAAACAAAGACTGATGGCCAAATGCATAGTTTATGTTCATGCAGCTATCGTTTCACTGACAATCCAAGAAGCTGTAGTGATGGATGAGATGACAATCAAATAGCTTTACATTTCAGGAGAGCACACAGGCAAAACAGTTAAATACCACAGTATTGCTATGAGTCCAGTGACATTAAGCCACATGTGCACTGACCCGACCTTTAGCATCAGGTAGGCATCATTTGTGGAAGACAGTGATCACACACCTTGCCAAATGAAACCGATACGATGGCAGCAGCATCCAGAAAGCTGAAAAGCACCACAGCAACAAGCCTTTCTGCTAATGAAGAACCATGCCAGGCTGACAGAACAGTGTGGCCCTGGGGTGTTCTTCTATCTTCTTATATCCCCCAGCAGCTTTCCATCAGTTGCAGTATGACCCTCCAAAAATCAGTACACGGATCATTGATCTTATGAACTCAAATTTGTGTTCCTCGACAAAACCATCAAGAATGTACAGCCAGAGACTGTATTGGCAGAAAATCACTTGGGCACTCCTCAAAATTCACAAACAGCCATTCAGATACAAAATGCACATACTGACAAGCAACCCCAGCAACATAAAAATCCAGATCCAGAATTAAATCCAGACACACAGCAGCAATGACACGATACATTTGATATAATAGACAAAAAGCACTATGTTCCAAATGATTTGGTTTCCTCAAGAAAGATATTTTACAATAAGCTACAGGCATAGTGCATTGTAAAGATAATCTGACAATTCTAGGTTACAGTATACTTGCTTACTGCTTTATATTAATCTAGAAATGGAGACAAATTCACAAGCAGTGTAGAAAAAGATTCACCACATATTACTGCAGATCTGGAGATCGAAGTCAGTGTGGGTAGAAAGTATGTTTGGACCAGAGATTTTTCCAGAAGACGCAGTATATGCTCTTTTCCAAAGCTCTTTCAGAGCACACATACCTTAGACTTGCATTATTGTTCTTGAAGAACTCATGCTCAAACAATTTTAAGATACTTTGGGCTGCTACTCATTTGTTTTGCAGTTCTGATGTTTGTTTGCATTGATTTTCTAAGGTTATTTAAATTCTTCATTTGTTAACAAATGATGTTGGCAGCAGAACACACTGGAATGCGAACACTCCAGAAAAAAAAGGGAGGGACAACTCAGCCCCAGTGGAATTAGGAATAAGATCCAATGACTCCCAACAGGGTTTCACAAGGGATAGCTCTATTGTTTCCTTCAGTGGGAGTTGTGGATCAAAGCAGCATTTCCCATCAGCCTACATACAGGACTCTCACAAAAGGTGCCAGTTCCTTCAATATTGCTCTGTGGGCTCACATTACAGACACTGAATAACAAAAATATAATTACAGGTTTTCATATAAGTGTGTGCATGTACAAAAAGCATGAAATAAAGCACACAGTAAGGCTCAGTTAGGATATGTCAACACAGAAAACATATAATGATGTTAGAGCTGTTATGTTACTGATGGAATTAAACATGATCCATCCACATCAACTGCTTTTTTTTTTTTAAATCTTCCATTGTGAAAAAGAAAAAAACACAATAGATAATATAGCTAAGTAACTGTGAACATTCACAAATGGGGAAAAGCCTGTGAATTATCTGTATAAAACAGGCACCAGCCACATCTTCACACAGATTTTAAAAAATGTAATTGCTCTGTCAGGTACGTACGCATTTAGAACTGTGTGTCGGATCTGTGAGAACGATGGCCTACTGCTTTAACTTCACACATCTCATCAAGCAAAATCCTTCCTCATAATCTGGAGAAATGCTCTAAACCCTTCCTGCAAAATTTCAGTTATGGGGACGTAAACTCTGCAGAAATTCAGTGGAAATTCAGTGCACAGAAAAACTGTATGTTATTTTCATCATATTTTGCCTGCACTAATAGAAACATAAACCTGTTCATGCTAGCTCTAACACAGCAAACACTGTGACCCTGAAGCACGCTGGGGGCTCTCTGTTTCCTCCCTATTTGGTTATCTGTTGAGTCCTAGCACTGGAGGATGACTTTTTTCCTCTTCCCAAATGTGGCAATTTACACAGAGGTTATGTAAGTGCAAAGAATTACAGAAAAAATGTAAGTGGAAAGTACATATTTTTAAAATGCACTTGAATAACTCAAATGTGGCTGAACTGACATTATTCAGACTTTCCAGTCTTATTCAGTACTGGATTGAAACCAAGCACAAGACATTTCAGGCCCAAAGGACATTTTAAAGAAAACTCTAAGTACCTATATTTCATGTTTACAGTATCTGTCTGGGAAATCTCTGCTACCTAAAGACAGACTTACTTATCTCCTCACAGAATCAAACAGAAGGGATGTAAACTAATTACAGAGAAGCCTGGATCAGCTTGGAAGCACCAGGACTGAATCAGCCCCAAAGAACACCCAAAAGAGAAACCTGGATTCAAATGTCTGTATTCTTCCAGCAAAATATAGATGCAGATTCAGATCCAAATTTTACATTGAAAGTTCACTTCTAACCTGTGCAGACACTATCTCTAGGCCCAGTTCTGCATTCCTTCCACACCCAAAACTGGAGTTCAGCCTGAATAAGGAATGCCAGAGAGAAGTGAATTTCTTATCTTTGCGGCAGATCTCGTTTGGCCATTGAGTGCCTGTGAACCTGCCAAAACTCAAATGTGTGACAATGCTGAATAGTTCAGTTCCAAGACTGATTAGGTTTTGTAAGATTTCTCTTCCAGGACACTTAAAATAAGGTGGAACTTTTTCATAAGCATACCTAACTGTTCGTACCTCCTGCATATGCTGAGAGGTTCCAATACTTCTGCTTACAAGCAATTTTCAACAATGGAAAAGATCCTAGATTTGTATAAAGAATGAGGAACAAAGGAAATAAGTTACATATTTCCAAAACTGGGGAACATTTAAAAGTACGGTTATACAAAATGCAACAGAACAATGTAAAATAAGATTTTAAAAAATTAAATTTCACAGAGAGCAAGTAACAAATGAATAAATAAATAATATAAGAGGGTACCTCGGCCCAGCAGTCCCTGCTTATCATTCTTCAAAATCACAGGGTGGCATTGTGCACAAAGGTGCAAGTAGGTTTTTTTCCCCCCTAAAATGTTGAACTGAATAGAAATTATGTTTTCAGGCACCGAGTATGTGAAGATACGTTGGTTTAAAACAATCTGCTTTTAGGGAGCATAAACTGATAACAGAAATTGAAAACCTGGAATAAGTGGATAAAAATTGCTAAGTCCAAAACCAACCTATATGTCTCTCTTGTACTAGCAGAGGTGTCATCTTATGATCAGAACTAAACCAAGGATTCTGAGCACCTGCTGCCATCAGAGGCTGGCCGACAGTTTTAGCATGACTTTGTATCAGTGTAATTTTGGATTGTCACCAGCCAGTGACCTTCCAAATGCCATTCTGGCCAATAACATTTTGGTTAACTCAACTCTGTCTGTTCCTTTTTGCTCAGTTCTTCGGCCAAGATCAAGCGTGCATATTAAACTAATATTAAATCCACTATCTTATATAAAATGTCTATTTCTCTTCCAATCTAGTCTCACTGTTCATTTCATCCAAACGGCATAATTATGAGCCCCTCTAAGCCATTTCTCACTCTCCAGCTTTTGTGTAACTTTCTATACCCAGAGGCTCTGTTCTGTCCCGGTGCACTGTAACTCTACATCATCTCTCTTTCAGCTCTTGAGAGAGAGATACATTAAAATCCTAACTTTCCCCTCCCGGTAGACTGACTTCCTTTTTAGCTATAATGGTACTCCACCTTTCAGGTTCTTTATAAGGAAGGATGTTGCAAAGGAATATTAGGAAGGAATTAGCTGCAGAAGAGTGTAAAACGATATTGGCGGATCTGCTATTTACATGGTCCCAGGCCCCTGCCTGGACTGCTCCTAAGGGAGCAACCCAGGGCTGCAGTGAACACTGCAGAGCAACTTCGCTGCTGTTTTTCATCTTGACAGAAGGAAATCATCTCGTCTTAATACTGCCCCTTAGGGAACGCCATTGCATAATACGCTGCTGGCCTATATTTCCCTGTTCTTGGCTCCAGGCTCTTACCAGAAACGCCACTCCTTCACTTCAGTTTCTGACTCTATTACAGAGTACTGCACAGACACACAGGATAGACACAAAGGAGCTGCCAACTCACGGATGCCTTTTTATTCCTCTAAACAGTATCCAGAACCTAACTAGAGGAAAATTTTAACAAGCTCATTGCTCACTACCACACCGCAAATGCTGCATCTCTGAAAAGTTTCTCTCCAGACCTGAGGCCCGAAGTGAGCCTGGTCTGCCCCTCTGTAAGATCTCCTCCCTGTTTTGGCACTATTACATGTAGCACTTATGTCATCCACTCCACAGAAATCAGGGCAGCCGCATGGAAGTGGGC